TTAATAATAATTATTTTAATTATTTGAATAATTTATTTATTTTTATATATTTTTATATAAATCAGAAAAATCCTAGCGTCAAATAGACCTTAAAGGGGTCTCTCTCTCATATATATATATATACATGTACCTATTCACAACATATACACATACATGTACATATACATTTACATATACATATATATATTCATATACATATATATATATATACTCATATACATCATATACATATACATATACATATACATATACATATACATATACATATACATATACAAATACATATACATACACATATACATGTACACATGCATATACATACAGGTGCGTAACATGGTTTTAAAGAGCCACAAACACATACAATGCAAAACCCAGGCCCCATGACAGCCCGCTTTCCAAATTTATAAGGTCTGTTCAAAACAGCCTGCTAGTATTTAGGCCGGGGGATAACAACAATCTCTCGACCGCTCCATGTTGGAGGTTTCATGCGAACTGTGGCAAACAGGGCTGTGGGGACTAAAATGAAGGCCATTCGTCTTTAAGCCCCCCGGGCGCGTACTTTTGAGCCGCTGGGGTACCAACAATAGAAGGTTGTGTGGAGTGACGCGTGTTGACAGCCACAATGGCTCACATTTCTTCATATAATTCTTTGGGTCCAAGACTGGCGCGGCCGAAGCAAGCTACGCATTGCCTCAAACATGCTTTGAGCACACACAACCCAACTTCATGCTTCCATAGTTGCCATTTCACGCACTGCATGAATGCAATGCGAGCTGAGTATGTTGCCATGGCTGGCTCGAAAGCGTTAGCGCTGGAGCCTGACGAGCTGTGTTTATAGAACGCAAAAACAGTGTGAACCAAGCGAATCATTGGTCCAATGCACTTGCCCGCATTGCAGAGTCAAGCTTTCAGCACGTTTGCTGCCGTGTACCCTCAGATCCATGTTGCCGTTGATGTGATGCCGTGACCTGACCATGTATCCAAGCCATGGCCAGGGACGGCCTGGGCCATACCCACCGCAGTATCCCCCAAGTTGGGGGCCAGGGCAAGCATGGCCTCAGCAAATGATGCCACACCAACCCGGTCAGCAGATGGGGCCACGCATGCCATCTCAGATGCCTCCGATGCAGTATCCTGCGCAGCCGCCGATGCAGCCGCTGATGCAGCCACCGATGCAGCCTCCAATGCAGCCCATGCCAGCGATGGGGAGTGCTTGGCCGCCCTCCCGACCAAAAGCGCCTACGGCCATCCCGCCGCACTGGACTGCGCAGACTGCAGGCTACAACCCTGCTGGGGATCCGTTGCTAGGCCAATCCTTCGGCCAGTCGTTTGGCGGCTCTTTTGGCTATGCCGGGACACCATCGCCGACAAGAACTGACCAGCCCGCCAGTTTGGGAGGAGCTGCTGTAGCTTCGAACGATGTTCCTCATACAGATGAGAGTGGCGCGCTCGCCGACCATGGGGAACATGTTGTCGCAGGCCTGGTGACTTTGGCTGTTGGTGAACTGTTTTCGGTTTCGGATCCGGAATGTCTGTCAATCAATGAAAAGCATGCGTTCCGAAGTGTTTCAGCAGCATCGCAAGGTTGTGTTGGATAAACTTAGGCGGAGGAGGCCATGACCAGCACCATCACGAGATGTGGTTAGTGCAAAGCATCCAAGCAAGCCCGTGGAGTCGCTTGGAAAATTACATTTTCCTGCAAAGGAAGGCATGCTTGAACCTCTTGAGCACGTGAGCGTTGGATGTTCGTGCTCAAGGATTCTATTTCGGCGGGTTTTGCTGCCTTCTGTCGTGCTTCCTTCTCATCGCTGTTCTGCTGCTGCTGGGTGTTCCGATTCTGGACCCCCGCCCAAATGATATCGTGCCGGTCATTCTTCGAGAGACTTGACTCGCACCTGCTAGTCAAAGCTCCGTCAACAGAAGCTTCAGCCGTTCGGGTGCGAAGATGTCAGGAACACATTGCCAAAAAAAGGCGCGTCGTGTCTCAGTGCAAGCACCTTCGCGATCTTTGGCCATTTGCGAGATGCGAGCTGTGATAGTGCAGGCAGGATGCAGGCCGAAGTCTCAAGGAGGCCGAAGCCTGTAGTTGAATGTGCTAAGCCCGCGCTCGGGCTTTGTCAGGTTGCCTTGGCTTGTCCTGGCTGTGAAGATTTGATGGAGCGAGCTTTGCGGAATTAGCTTGGAGAATGGATGTTTCGATGCGACGCTGTTCTGTTCTTGAGTTTGGAGCTGGTTGTCCGAGGATCCGAGCGAATGTTCTATCTGCACATCATATACGAGCCTCGTCTGCTCTTCACTTAACCGCTGTGAAGATCTCAGCCTTCTCTTCGCACTTTCGTATCTTTCGTTTTTGAGAGGAAGTGGAACACGAGTCTGGCACCCTCTGGGAAGCCGACATTCTCCAAAGCATCCCGTCACGGAGCTAGTCTGGTCGTTGTCATGTTCCGCAGTCTCAAAGAGGTTTCAGCCCAGGACCTCATGTCAAAGCGGGTTCGAGTTGTCTACAGAAGTTTGCTTTGCGTCAAACAGGTATCCATGAAGTGGAGCAGAAAGTCTTCGAGGCAAAGGGCCTCGGACCCGATGGCAAGGACTTGCTTGTGCCCTGCTGCGATCATCCCCTCAGGCCCTCGAGGCCACTTTCTTTCTTTGCATTGCTTGTGAGGAGTGGGCTTTTGAGGTTCCGAATCTGCAAGTCAGCTTAGCACTGTGTGGTGACTGCAGACAGCCTTCAGTACTGTGCAAGACGATGCGCCCATCAAGGATATGTGCTTGCTGGCGAAACCTAACGAAGAGCTCAAGGGATTGGGCCGGGTCTCTCGGCGGAATCATTAATACAACCGGACATAAGAATGTTTGAAGTGCATGCGATATGTGTTTCTTTGGCTCCCGTTGTTCATCTCCGGGGCTTGCTGCCAGGAGTTACCGAAGACGCCGAAGTGTGCCTTTGCACTTTCTCCCCTTCTTTTCCTGGCAGACAAAGTGCTGCTCGGCAGCAATTCTACAGCGCCATGCAAAGCAACAACCCCACTATTCATCGGAAGCTGGACACGGCGACGGCTGCGGCTGCAGGGACGCAAAAGGTGGGAAACCAAAGCTGTGCGGACACCTCCAGAACCTTGACATTACCCACCGCGATCATATCATGACAGGGCAGGGGCGGCGGAAGGGAGGAACGGAGAAACACCAGCAACAAACCACATCAACCGCGGAAGGAGGGGGCCGGGACACGGGTGGCTACCAGTGCGGGAAGCCAGCCACCCTTATCACATATGCAAACATCCACTCTATGCGGGAACTTGCTTTGCCAGCAAATCGAAGGGGGTTGCAAAACCATGACATGCCTCAGGCTGCCTTTAGCCGACCCTCCGCCTTTTCAGCTGAAAAGTGGCTGAGCTGCGCTTCACAGGGATGCACCCGGGGTTCTTTTTATTCAAATGCTTCCACGGTTTGAACCGATTCTTGCTTGGCTGCTGTACTGCCGAGACCTACGCCGAACGGGGTATCTGTGGATCAACGAGTCGCACCATCAGTGGTCACGTCCTCATTGGCTGAAGCGGCTGAAGGGCAATGCCCGGCTTATCTCCTTTGAGCTACTAATAATTGCTGATACTAGTAGAGATATTGTGGAGCCGGAGAGCTGGACCAGTCAGCGCTTGCGAGGACAGATCACTTGACGCGCTGTGTCGTACCTCCCGAGGAGGCACAGAAGGCAGCCGCAGGGCCTGTCCGAAAAAGTATCAGTGTGGATCCCGCGAAATCCATCTTGCCATGACCTTGAGTGCTTCTGTCGCCACTTTAACATGAGATCTTCATTTCATGCAGGAAGAGATGGAAAAGGTCACTGGCAGTTGGTTCATGAGGAAGGTGGGCGCGTCAGTTAACTCAGCATTTGTGATGTCTTCCGTCTTCTGATCTGGGAAAGGCCACGGAGTATTACGACAACAGGTTGGGCCAGGACCCCAGCGAGGACCGTGGCTAGGCAAGTCTTTTGAGTCCAGGAGTGGTGGTTCCTGGCATCCAAGCACTTCATTTTAGACCAAGTCATCCGCATGGCCGCGTATCTCCATGTTCTCTGATATGAACTTCAGTGCACGAACGAAGTGCTGTAGGACATTGTGGATGACTGGTGCAGCGCTGCATCCAGCCATCTGCCCCCGGACCGGGTTGAGAAGTGGGTGCGACGGTGCGACATTGTCTCTCCTCAGCTCTTGAGCAGAGGAGATGAGAAATTGTGGCTGCCTGGCCCTTATCTACAACGACGTACCCCATCGGCAACTTAAGAGATACACTTCTCAGTGCCTTGTCACTCAAATCCATTTAATTTGCCAAAGCCGAAGGCTTCCTGCTGTGAGGTGCAAATGGCACAGAACTGGGACATCAGCCTGCAGCAGATGTGGGATTTCAAGAAGGGCTTCCAAAAGCTCAAGAACCCCGAGGCCCGAGGCCTAGCCGAGGCCTAGCCGAGGCCTAGTGAGCCGAGTGCAGACATTCCGATGCACTTCCAAAGGGCCAGGTGTCATCCTTTTGGCAACTTCTTCAGGAAAGGTGAATGGACGGTGAATCAGTGTGACACAGATGCATGTTGCAGACAAGCGGCAAAGCCAAGCGTCCCAATGATTTTGTCTGCTTCAGGAATTAGCATTTTCATCCTTTTCGCTGCTGTCCGCCATCTGCTTTTCTCGCTTGTTTGCTTTCTGCTTGTTGGTCCTCGCTTTCTACTTGTTGCTCCTCGCTATCTGCCTGCCGCCTGCGACTTTTGCTTGCTTTTTCTGCCTTTTTCTGAAGCTGTCTGATCCCATGTGTCGGCATTTTGCTTTCAGACATTCAGGAATTCACTGGCAGGTTCAGGCTCGAGCCTCGTCCTCCCATTGTCACGCCACTGATGTTGGCGGGTTCAGGGTTCCGTGTTGAGGGTTCTGCGCTGGAGCTTGCAACATGTAGAACGCTTCCGGCATGAGAAGTCTAAGAGCGAGGCGCAGCAGAGCCGCGAAGCGACCGATCTCTGCTCACGTCTTCCCGGACCGGACTGTCCAACAGGGCCGAAGCACCGAGACCACGAGGAAAGAAGCGGCCAATTCCAGAATGCCCTGCACCCGAGCACATCACAAAGACGGACGGAGACTTTTAAAGTCACGAATCGCGAGCAATCTCCCTCCCAGCCCTTGGCCCATCAGGTTCTCGTGCCTGAAGGACGGGTGCAGCCCAGCAGAACTGGCGTAAAATGCCACAAGCAGATGTGTCAACTGGACGCATGAATTCCCTTCCCGCTGTCTCCTTTTCATTTCCTTTCTTTCATCTTCTTTCCCTCTTTCTCTCCTGTCCCCAGCTCTCCTCTCTCACGCTCTCTCTGCAGCCGCTCAACAGCAGTTGAGTCAAATCCTTGGGAAGTTTGTAAAGAAGCACTTGTCAATCAGGCCAGCAGCGCATACGTGGCAAAGGTCCTCGATTACTGGACGAGCCGCGTGACGCATCACTGTTTTCAATGTTTTTCTGCCGTGCTGTTTCTGCTGGAGTGGTAGTGAGTAGTGGGTCAGAGCGACTCGAGGCTATGATGATGACTCGGTTGAGCTATGCCGACGCAACTCCGATACCTGACTGTTAAAGGTTTATTATCCATTATTGTCATTGTCCTTATGCTGACATGACCAGAGAAGAACCCACCGCGTGCAGGAGAAATGCCCGTGGAAGAATGCTGATCGCAGGCAGGATGCGAAGTTCTGGAGCAATCTGGCATGCAGTTCAGGTCTTCACCGGGATACGACCGGCCAAGCAGAGCCCCAGCATCAAACGACTCTGCTAAGCAGAGTCGTGTGATGTTGGGCATCTGCTGGCGGTATGTCTAGTAAAGAGCCTAGTATCACAGTCTCCAGCAGTCTCCAGGCGATCGAAGCTACGACAGCCTTAACCTGACGTTCTATACAGCAGACACCCGACACATGAAAGCTATGGACCACATCGAGTGTGCATGAAGTCGTCATGCTTCCAGGCTGCTTGTCAGGTGCCCAGGCGTCAGTTTAGCTTCAAAGCACGAGCAGGGATGTTTGGCTCTCAGGCAACCAAGCCTGCAGCGATGCCGAGCACATGGAGCGGCGCAGACGTCACAAAATGTTGAAGAGCCAAACATGTGGAGACCTTGAGGGCCATTCGGCGAGAAATCTTGACATGGGTAAGGACTCCGATTTGCAGGCATGCAGGCATGTCAGCGCGGGCTGTGCAGCACCAAGGCGACAATGCTGGACATGCCTTTTATGCCCGGCGTCGGGTGTTGGACCGTGTTGTTCCGCATCCTTTCGTGATGGCGGCCTGGGCCCTTGAGCAGCTTTCAGTCGGAGTCTAATTGCGGGCCTCTTCTTTCTGAAGGTGCCGATGCCCTTTTACACAACGATTGAAGCAGAGTCGGATCAACGACAGGAGTGTCGGTCCCGACCTCGGGCTTTGAAGCGCTCTCTTGGGCCATCCCGTTTATCCGTGCCCAGGGATTCGATGATCGGACGGCGTCGCTGGTCTGGTGGTTGCGAGTGCCGACGCGCCTCAACTGTCCATTGTTGCCATGCAAGTAGCACCACCGTGAATTTCCGCACACCGGCGCTGTGAATGGTGACCAAGGAATCTATGTTTTTTGGCAGTTGTAGTTGTTGTGTAGGACGTAGGAGTCGATAGAAACGCGGGGAACTTCGGAAGGTCGAAACTCTCCTCGCGACCTTCCCAAAGGCCTGGGGCAGAGCAGCTGATGTTGCGCTTGGATCTCTGTCTCTGTTTCTGCTGCTCCTTGGCAGGCTGGTCCTGCCAAGGGGACAGGCCGGGTCAAAGCGGTCAAGGTCATAACCATGCCATGCCATGCCATGCCTGAGCCTGTGCACTTGCCAGTGTGTCCTTCACCGGGGACAATCTCGGACGAGAAGCTCGGCACAGACACAGCCACTGAAGAAGGCTCGTTTGGACCTGCCCTCTGAGGAAGAACTTGTCCTCTTCCCCAAGAAATTCCCGAATCTCTTCAGTGTGTTTCTTGGCGAGACCTAGAGCCGCGGTTGCGACAGCCTGGAAGTGAAGTCTGTCCTACTGCTCAGGGTTGGAGATGACGATGCCGGAAGCTGCAAAATCCGAGATCACGGCACTTGCACTACCCGGAACACCCAGGTCAGGTTCCGTTGCCTCCTCCGGAGCTCGTTGCAGTTCCCCTTTCCTTTGGGAGGTCAAGTCGCTGCATACGCTTTTCTTCTTTGGTTTTCCCCTGAAGATGCTTGGCACTGATGCTTGCGCATGCCTCGCCACATGTCTGAATTGAGTTTGACATTGACAGCTGAGAAATGTGAATGAACACTGGAGCGGGCTGAAAGCCGAGACAGGCCGAAACGAGGCAGAGCCTGGCAGTTTGCCAATGTGCGGCATGTCGCGCTCTGCAGCATGCAGGCTTCCGAGTATATCATGGAATGGATTTTCAGCACCTATAATGACTTGCTCGTGGACTTGAACGCCAAAGCGAAAGGTGGGGTGTTTGTGCAGGCACAGTGTGAGAAAGATCTGCAGCTGTACCTAGGCTTCAAGACTCTTGGCTGAACGGATTCCTTATCTCAGGATTTGCTTGCAGCTTGGGCATGTATCCTACCAACCTCAGGATGTCGTTCGATGCGAACAGCCTCCAAAACGGGAGCCCCCTGCTGAAGCAGTAACTTGATGCAGCGAGAAGGCGGGTTCTGCAAGCGTGACGTTGTTTGATTTAGGTACATCGCCTACAATATCCCCCGAGATGCACGCTGGATCACCGCATCCATCTTCTTCATGCTGGGTTACATCTCTTACACGACGGGCTCCGTCTTCCTCGGCGTCTCTGTGCCAGTCCCAGTGCGGACTGTCCAGGGGCACTGGGTCCTTTGATGGACTTAGGGAGGCATTCCTGCTGTGTACATGTTGTAGGAGGAGCCAGTGCACCTAGCTTCTACCAAGATCATAGCGATGATCGTCTTCGCGTTCGGGCCGGCGCTCTTGCCCCTTGGCTACAGCTCTGAGGCATGGTATTGGCACGACATGCACTCATCTCTCAGGCTCTACACCATGGTATTCGGGCAGCGGTACATCGGATTCTCAGTGAAATCTGTTCTCTGTGGTCGCCGGTCCGGCAAGCCTGCACAGCTGCGAAGAGAAAATTCAGGACTGCTGCACCTCAACGGCCTCTTCATTATCTTGGGTGTGGGCGTGGACGACGCCTTCGTCATTATGGTGTGGGCAGTTTTTTTTCGCAATGCCCGTGCAAGCCTCAATGTGCCGCAATGTGCAGGATGCGTACGGCCAAGAGAAGGCCGAAGCTGAAGCAGAAGGACGACCCACCAACTTCAGTGCTCCGCGGGGGGGGGGGGGGGGCCTTTGAAGTGAGAACATGTTCTTCGCACGTGCGGTATCGGCACGTTTGTATGCTTCGAGAGCATCCTTCAATATCCTTCATTGAACAGCCAGTATGGTAAAGCTTAGTGTTGTCTGGAAGCTCCTACTTTGATTCAATGATTGGGGTGCCCCGGCTGTGGAGGTGCCATCATGTCGCCAGCGGTGCATCATGCCTCGAAGGCTTGTTTGCCCGGAGCTCAGAAAAAGTCACAGCGCTTGGGGGATTGCGTCCTTCTGACTCTGAGGTGCACCTCTTTGACAACTTTCTTTGCCTTCGCCTCGAGCTTTCAACTGCAAGAAGCGGTTCCAGTGCTCGGATTGACGGTCTCCTTTCGCGCTGCTGTGGCTGCGCCAGGAACTCGGTCTCTGACTTCCCGTCAATCCGGACCTTCGGCATGTTTTGTGTGTCTCAGCAGCAGCAGAAGGACCAAGAAGGATATGCAACCGTAGACCACTGTTCGCACAAGCCTCCGAATCTCGGTATTGCTGGACGTCGACAGCCGTCGCTGCGTCGTCATTCTTCTTCAGGTCCCCCGATGAAGGCAACAAGGTCATAGCTTCACAGCCGTAGGTAAGGCGGATGTTTGGAATGCAGCAAGGTGATTTGATTTGAAGAGAGACATGACCTAGTATCCCTTCAATATCCCGAGTAGGATCACTTACAAAGGATACTTCCATATTAAGCGCCAGACGTGGGCCAAATTTTGTCCATTCTTTCGCGCTGGGCCAGGCTTGTGTTGTTTGAAGGAATTCGGGCAAAGTTGGAGTTTACAGGCTCGAGCCGTAGGGGTTGATGCGATGTCGTCCTGAGTTGCATCCCCTTGTGTGCGCCTCGTCAGGCATGCCTTATCGTGACAAACTTCTTTATCGACTTCTCCTTCTTCCTGGCCATCGTCACCCCGGCGCACTTTGTTGTGAAATCCAGGTAGACGAGGGCCTGCCGCATAAGCCCATGATTGTGCTTGGGAGCTTGCTGCTAGTTCAACGCGAGCCCGTGGATTCCGCAGCCGCGCTTCGTGGGCCAGGTGTGCGCGAGCGAGCGCCTGAAGAAGCCGAAGCCACCAACGTCCGCAGCGATCGAGGAGGTCTTCGGGTTCGTGTGTGGGCTTGTTCAGCAATTTCCGGTGCGAGGCCGATACGCTGCGACCCATGGAGAAGCTCCTTGCCTTGGACGATCCTCGTAGTTTTGGAGAGACCGTGACTTTGTCTTGGCAGTAGAGGAGACGCTCGCTTAGGGATTTTGTCCGAGGTGGTTTCATGACACTTTCTTCCTTTTCGTCTGCATCTCAGCCAGTGGGTTTCGGCTTCCAAGGTTGAGTTACAGAGGCAGCCGTGAGCTGACAGCAAAAGCAAAGCGCAGGTCAAGACCTTCAAGTTTCCACTGCTCGGTGTCTTCGGCGTGTGGGCCGCCGTCTGCATGTGGACTGCAACGTACGTCACGCCTGACCCGAACATGCCGAAAGTGTTCATGCCGAGCGACAACTACGAACGCTTTCTGCCAACGCTGGCGAAGAGATACGAGAAGACCTTTAACCCCTTTCGGCTGAAGGTCCGAATCCATCTTGGTGTCGATGCTGATGATCCCATCAATCGAGGAACTACGCCTGACTACAATGACTGCTTCTTCAATTGTGCCGGGCAGAAGCCAAACTATGTCGATCTCTTCGCCACTGCTGGTGGCTTGTCTCGTACTTTGCATTCATCTCTGTCAACGACCACTCCCAGTGTCGGTCCGTGCTCCATCTTTCGACAAAGAGTTGTGGTAGCTCATCGCGGTGTTGTGAGGTCCGCACACGCCCGAGAGCAAAAGCAAGCAGATGAGCCACTGGTCTCGGAGCTTTCTTTGGCATTGCAGCACGCTGTGCGTCCGCAACTGTCCGTTCATGTGAATCGGGTGGATCAATCATGCTGCTGGCTTCTGCAGGAATGCAGAAAGTTGTCCAGAGGCTTTGCGAAACTTGGCCAGCAGATTCATAGTCTCGCTTCTTTCCCCAGTGCATTGTTTCTTGAATCTTTAGAGTGCCCATGGCTGCCTTAAGCTCAGAACAGGTTGTAAGCTGATGGGAGCTGGTAGGTTTTTGACTCTGCCAAACTTGCTTTCCATTCTGGCTGCGAACTGATTTGGGAGGCACGAAATATATTCAAGTCAAGGAGTGGCTGGTTGTGGTGGACAAGGATCAGGTTAATCGCAGGATCATTTGAAATTTGTGGGCGAACAGCCGGGAATGCCAGCAGTCATGCCAACAACTCTGTCCGTATGATTCACTAACTGCAATCCAGACTGAAGCTGTTAACACTTGGGAGAAGACACGAACATTTGTAACCACGTACCTTTCTATGCCGGCCTGGATGGAAATTGAATCACCAGAACCACGCTCTTCGACGTGTCATCCAGCCACCACGTTCATCACTTGTGAAAGCCAACTCCCCATACCTTCTGAGTCTAATAAGACATGTCTCCGATCCAATGCATGGGCAAAAACCTGCTCCTAGAGTCCATCCCACCGGGTACCGCCGCTGAGCCAAAGCCTCAGGTCGCCCGACAGGCTCCATGTGCCATCGTCCTCGCTGGCCTCCGTAGGCAAGCGCCTTCAAACCGGCGTGGTCTGGCAGAGCGTCGGAGCGGAGGTCTCAGGTGTATGAAGATGGACCTCCGTCGTGGTAGCGGCTCTTTGGGCTCTGCACGCTGCATGGGTCGATCAATCGGAGATCTGGAACGTTGACGGCCTCGACCTGCGCCCGTGCCCGGATTCACAACGCTTCTCCCGGAAGTATGCAATCACTGTGCCCCGAGCTCCCTCTCGAATCGAGTGTTCTCCGGACACTACAGTGGCACCAGATCTGCGCCTTCGGAGTGGCTTGTCGTTTCTGTGCTCCGATCGAGTATGTCCTCAACCGGTGCGTGTGTTCACAGCCGCTACACATTTGCGAAGTTACAGACGTGTGCTACTCAACGCGATCTTCAGACCAATTATCCCGACTTGGAAACGTCCCACTTCACAAGCAATTCGCAGATACGTGTAGGAGTGCCAATGACCTCAGCAATTCATGATTCGTGGCCAACATCAAGCAAGTGTTTTCTTGCACCCCCATTCTTAAACACAATGAGGTCGACATGTATGTTGATGGCGAGGTTGTTTTCGGCATGTGCTCTGCATGCAATGACTACAGGTGCGGGAGTGTCACAACTTTATGCAAGCTTATCAGCGCTGGGGCTATCAGTTTTTGAGAGCAAGCCGCTCATGAGCATCAATTCAGCTTGCTCAAGCATGAGCTCACGGCTTGGTTCGAAAAAATAGGTTCAGCATTCAGCCCTTCAGCAGGAAGGCTGTCAGCAGGATCAGGCGCTCGAAGCTTGGCAGGAAGAAATGGAAGCGATAAGTTCAACATTACTGTGAGGGAACAGCGAACAAGTACTGAAACTTCCGCGGCATCAGACTCGCGACGACCATCAACACGAGGCCGCTCCACATCACAAGCTTCTGCTGGATCACGGCGGTCACGGCGTTCGAAGGCTTCAAAAACGTTGTGGCCCTCCCATTCAGGCAAAAGCAATAGGCGTGGCAGCAGTCGACATTCACAAAATCACAACGGTCTTCATCTAGCCAGAACAAAGGCGAGGGCCGCAACGGAAATGGCAAAGGCAAGAAGCCCGGTAAGGACACTCATCAGAAAGAAGCTCGAGTAGAGGTCTTGACTATCCCAGCCAAAATGTCGAAAGCGCAGTTATTGAGTGCTGACGGCTCGACAGCTATGTACGGTACAGACCGCGTAGTAACGTAGTGACGTAGTACATCACTTGTACAATTAGAAAGGTGCTTCCGCAGATGTGCAGATCCCAGTTTATGTTCGTGCTCATTTGGCCAAGGGTGGCAAGCTCATCAGTGATATCAAACAAGTTCCCGTTTGGCAAGTTATCTCAGAAACGAGTTCGCTTTGTTACGACGCTGCGTAAGGCCTAGTGGCCGAGTTTCTCCAAGGACGGCCATGAGCCTCCAGAAGCCCAGCCGCTAGTAGCGAACAATATCTGGGTGATGCCACAGTTTCGCGACAACGGCTTCAAAATGAATGTTTGCATTTTTCCTAGCAGAGGCTTCAACGCCGGTGGATGACAGTGAGACCACAGAAACTACATCGAAGATGAAGTTTGTCACAGGACAGCCTCACGCACTTTGCAGCCAGCAGTGAGGAGATGTGAGGAGTTCATCCTGAGCAGCATTACTTCTCAGCAATTTTGGCCGATTCCGCATGCTTCGCAAGGGTAGGATCGTCCGGAGGCCAAGAATGAACATGATCAGGTCATGCATCGCACCTCTTGTGACTGTCTTAACCTAAACTTTAGGGGCAATTGGCTCCCAATTGAAGTCTGCTATTCAATCCAGCTTGGAGCTGCAAGACACGATCGCAAATATCTTCATCCCGCCCTGTTTCGAGCTTGCTACTTTTGACATCAAGAACCTTCGTCCCTCACGGAAATCGTTGGGCCATGGATCCACAAGTTCTTCATCGCAAAATCCGTCCTAGCCAACTTCTGGGTGGCCACGGTTGAGTTTCTGTTGGGATGTCAGATCATGGAGATTAACAAACAACAGTGGCAAGTGCAAAAGGGCTTGCAACTGGTCTTCAGTGCAGCTTTAGCTTTGCAAACATTTATTTGGATTCATTGGATACATAGGCAGCTCAAATTCGGACAGAGGATGCGGTGGAAACCTCTGCGACGAAGTGCACTGGCATGTGCTTCAGCATGTGCGTGATCCACGGTTTGATGCAGTTTTGACACATAGTGCCCCGACGAGCCTCTGGGGTAGGCGAATCTAGTCGGCAGCCATAACTTCGTGTCAAAGCGGCATCGTTTCTGCGTTCCGATCGAGTCTGTCCCTAACCGGTGTCCCGTGATGGAAATAGTCCCTTCCGAACCGGTCCTCGGCTTTGCTGCACGCCGTGCAGGTGCCGTGGGTCTTAGAAAAAGTAGGACTGGAAGTAAGAAACCCAATTTTCGTGCGGTAGCACATCAGTGATGCAAGACTATGCAAGAAAGCTGAGGATATGTTGGAGGATGCTTCCGAATGGGATGGAGACGAGTCCCGGCTCTCCGAGCACCAACGACAGATTCCCAGAGCCACAGCAAGCGCATGTCGGGATGCACAACATGTCGAGATCGACAGCCGTCCCGTTTTCCGAAAACGCAATCTCACAGTGTATTCAGTCACTTCTGCAACACATGCAAAGAAGCTACTGTTTGTATTCAGTTCAGTTCGAACGTCTTGCCGAACGTGGTGTGAAGTGCAGTTTTCGTGTTTGTAAGGCGAGTACCCATTCCTTCGGGTAGCTTCTGCAGAAGATCTGGCCGGTTTGCCTCCAGTCAAATGTGTTGCTTGCCGAGGATTCCTTGCGAGCGTAGACAGTGTAGACTTCAAGCCGGCTACCAACAACATCGTGCTGAAACATTTCGAAAACTTGTTCTTGCCTCCGAGGTTTTCCGTGACTTTGAGCATTGGATTGTCACCTGCTTACTTGCTTGTTTCGATGTGCCTGATCGCACGCGAGACTTTTGCCGGGTGTGGCCTAGAACACAATGAACGCGGCGGCCAAACACACCTCTAAAAAGGAAGAGCGCAAGGAGGGTGTTCTTGTCCAGCGCAGTCGCAGTGCAGTGAGCTCAGTTTTGTGTCAGGAGTTTCCTTCCAGATGCTTGTCGGCAACACGAGGGCAGTTGCTGAAAGGGGTTTAGGGCAAGGCAATGCATGGCATGGAGCTGGTGCAGAGGCAACTTCTGTTGTGGTGCGGACTCAGACTTCGTCAAGTTTCTGTCGTCGCCAATGCCTCCTTCGAACAAGTACCTCAGCTGCAGGAGGAGTTGTGCTTCGGGTGACCAGCTGCCAGTCAGGATGTATCAATCTGGGCAGCGCAACATGGAATTCTTCCAGGATGAGGCCACTTGGACGCAACTCGCAAGCTTTTACAGTTGAAGAAGCCTGAGCTCTCGCGGCTGCATGACTGATCAAGGCCCCGACATGTTGTCTGCATCTTGTTTCCTTGCGTAGCTTTCCGCCATTGTCCGCCACAAGTGCTCCTTCCCTTAGTCTGGATGGGCCATGCAAGCTTGGCACAGGTGGAGAACTGGCTGACCGCACATGTGTGTTTTGTTGCCGATGTTGGCTCGTGCCAGGCAGTGGCGCCTGTGTGCGGCGGGGTTGTGTTGAAGTCGGTAGAAGATCACGTGGACCCAGTCTCGAGCTGGGAACATCTGGCGCCTCGCCTCCAACGCCTTCTGGCTCAGGTTTTCTTTGACCGTGTAGATGGCGAACTGGTCCTCCGTGCCATTGTCATTGAAGTGGCATTGAAGACGACTTGGCAGATTCCTTATTTGGTTGCTTGGCGAAGCAGCATGCCGACGTTGCACCTCCTTTCCAACAGCAGAAGTTATAAAGAGTGTTACCTGAGGACGGAATTGAGCTCAACCGACACTGGGACAAGCTTCCTGGATGCACCAGAAGCGATTTCACGAGAATGGAGTCCGAAGCTGTTCCCGTCCAGGTTCGTCCAAGAATTTGCTGCAAAACAAGCAAAGGATGTGTGGTGCTAATCGGAAAGCATTCTGAAACCACCTCGTTCGGATGGAAGCTGGTTCAGGAAATGCTTCCGAAGTTGCCGAAGGCTATCTTCGCTACGGACATGCCCTTCGGAATAATCTCCGAAGCCATGCTGTGTTCTCAGTTTGTGAAGGTGGTACTGGATCTACTGTTGTCACTCGCTCAGGTTTGCATTCCACTGGTTCCAGGTGCAGGACGCGATGAACTCTGAGGTCTTCGATGGTATCAAACTGTCTCTGTTGCGCACTCGAACATTGAAAGATGAGGTCGCTCCAGTAGCACCTGCGGAGCGTTGTCTTAGGTTTCTGGCCTTCCTAGTGCTTCTCGGAGCAACTCAGAACGTATTCCTTGCTCTCATTTCTGTCTCATGCATCGTCGCCATTGCCCGGGTCTTAAAGTGTTGGACTTCTTGCCGGGATTTCATGTGGATGAGTGCGGGCAGGCCCCCTCTCAGGTCTCCTCCGTGCTGGCCTTTGCTGTCTGCATGGACTGGAAGACCAGCGTGTCGGAGGCGATCATCTATGTGATGGTCATCGGCCTGTCCGTGGACTACGTGATCCACCTAGGCCGCCAGCCGGTGAGCCGCGTGAGCCGCGCGGCCGCGCACGGGTCCTGCGCGCAGGCGATGCCTACCTGGAGTGTCCCGACGAGAGCCGAGAGGACGAGTTGCCTTTGGGTTTCCTCCTCTTGTTTTCGTTGAGTTGTGACAGCATGAGGACCGGGTGCAGTTCATGGCCCGACACTTAGCTGTGGCCCGCAGACGCTTACGTTCAGTCGACTTCATGCATGCCCGTCTGCTCCCAAGCAATGCAAGCACTGGAGGTCACCAAGATGGGTGTGTCTGTTATCTCCGGAGCCATTTCTTCTGCACCTTGCCTTCTCAATGAAAGAGCAGTGTAACAAGTTTGGACACTGTGCATATGTGTATTGCCCAGTGGACACCGCAATTTACAGCCTGCCTGATAAAAGGTGAAAAGGGCAGGTGGAAAGTGAATCCACATTGCGTTCAGGAACAGGCTTTTCAGGTCCAGGAGCACAGTCCGACCTTATCCATCATGTTCATGCGCGTCCGGCCTTCCAGCAGTTCTACTTGCATGATGTGGTCTTGCAAAGTCAGCTGTGCCCAAAAAGCGCAGAGCATGCTTTTCATGGGAATAGGCTGGAGCTGCCATCTTCATGACGTTCTGCCAGAGATTCTTGGCAGAAATGGACGGCCGCATGCGCAACTTGCAAAAGTGCATGGTGTGTGCAGGGATAAGACAAAGCTTGCAAGCGCATCAAACGCGCTGCGATATCTCCGAAATAGGTCCCCCAAAAAAAGCGTATCAGCCTTGGAAGCTGATTGTCCAAGGCCTGTTTCTCATCAAGTTTGGGAACCTCGCCTGAGTCTTTATGGTGTTGAGTGAGCCACGGGTCGGGTGAAGGACCGGCAGCTTCCTTTAACTGCTTTAGTTGCTTGCGATGCTTAGGATTGTGATTTGCTTCGTCATCAGCGTCTCCGTGGTGACCTCTCTGGTCTTCTTTTCCGCACTGCTGCTGGTTGCTGGACCAAGCGGCGAGTGGCTCTGGCCGAGTTGCGAGATGTGAGACGCGAAGACGAGCCCAGAGACTGGGGTTTTGGCTGGGCCCTGGCTGCAGGTCTGGCAGTTTGGGTCCCGTTCTGCGGCTCCTGAAGCTGCGGAAGCCTCCTGCAGAGACTGAAGAAGACACATCGCAAGCCCCGTGCCTCGGCTTCCAGCATCCTCTGCACGCGGTTCTGCGATGTAGTTGCGTCACATTGCGAAGGCCTGAAGAGCCGTCCGGTTCTGAGTCGTCACGGTTGGCTGCCGTTCGGGCTCTTGACCTGACTATACCTGACTTTACGGCAGCCGAGGCAGAAGGTGCAACCACGGCTGTACTCCTCGGTTGTCAGGCGGCTCGCACGAACACCTAATGTCATCCCCGGCACAAAGGTGTGAGGCTTCATTTTGCAGATTTAGTGCCCGAATCATGCTTTTCTGTCCGGTACAGTTGGTTACAGTCGCCTGGCTTTTTCTCTTGAAGCGGCCCGAGCTCACTTCGCCTCCCGAGATATCGGAAGAGTTTGGCCCGTGCCAGCATGGCCAATGCTGATGCCCGAGAGCTGGCGCGGGAGTTGGGTTACCCTGCCGCACATGATCCCTACCTCTTTCCGTCGTTCATCGGAGTAGCATTGCCAATTGTCCTTGTATGGTTTCCAGGCAGCCTGCTAGCAGAGCTTGTTGCCCGTCCGTTTCCCAGGAGCTGATGCTGCTCCGTGGCTTGGTCAGAAAAGGAGAACCAGCCAGCTCAACTGTCACACTGTCGGTGGCTCTCGGCGCGCGTCGGACTTGTTACACACACACACACACATTGCTGTGAGTCTTTTGAAGCCGAGGCAGGAGGTTGCGGCTTTTCTGATACGAGCCTCTGGGCTGCAGGGACCGTCCGATAGTCTCCGAGCCGAGGAGCTGACAGCGGTGTCCCATAGTCCGGCAGCACGCCAAGGTCACGCGACTTGCATTGGGAAGGAAGATTTGGTGCACCAGAACATGTTTTGGCTTTCGTCTGACTTTTTGGCAAGCATTCAGGTGCTGAGATGGAGGACTCTGAGACTTCGAGGTGCTTGTGATAGCGAAGCATCGATGGCAAATGTGGCTCCACCGAACAACCGTGCAGGCCGGTCTCTCACGAAGAGAGCGAAGTGGTTGACCTCCGTGATCTGCGGGAATAAGACCAGCTTGCTGCAAAGTTGTGCCGTAAGGCTCCAGCAAAGCTGGCTTGGTAGAGGAGTGGAGGTATTGCTAGAAACATGCAGGTATTGTTGTCAGAGGAGAGACATGCAGGCTGTTTGAGCTTGCTGTGTAGACATAGGATCCAGATCACAGGCGAACACCACCCACTCCCCAAGAGCTACACTGTAACCATCGAGCATCGTGCAAGCTGTCAGTTCGACTGTGGTCCATCGATTTGCTTCATGCAGTGCCACGCTGCCTGTTCAAAAGCTTGTTCGAGCTCAAGCTTGAGATTTCAATATCTCGTTTGAGTCGTGGCATGGCGTATTCTTTGCCTCAACTGGGCTCAGGGAGAGAGGGCGTCGGGCATAGGGGACCGGAGTTGGAGAGTCGAGGTTTGTAGGCAACATGATGGCCGGGGCCCCACAGCGTCTCTCTTTCAGAGGCGCAGGCGGCGCAGGCGGAGCCCTTAGGGCCCTTCGTCCGTGTTTTCTTTCTTTTGAGGTCACCGGAGGCCTGGGAGGCCTGGGCCTGATCGCTTCTTTCCACTGTGCCAGGGCCCCGGCGGCCACGAAGTCGAAGCACGTCTGTCGATGAAAGACGGAGAGTGTTTTGAATTTGGAAAGTCCGAGGCCGCGGAGTTCGACAATCCGATCATCACCACCTCGAGATCAGGTCGTCTGGGCAGCGGAGGGCCGGAGCCTCAGGGCCGTTTCTCCCTGGCAGCGCAGCGGTGCAGCGGCGCAGGGCCTCGGCGATGAACATGTTCGAGGCCCTGAAGGAGATGGTGCCAGTGTACAACGTGAGGAGCGCGCTGCAGTGCGGCTTCGGACTGCCGCAGCCGCAGCATTGCCAGGCTAAATGTGGCCAACGCGCAAGACACGGCCGATGTCTTCGCATGGGTTAGCCGACCAGGCATGCCGCCGGAGGAGCCGTGCAAGATCGCCGCGCATGGTGGCAAGTGTCACGATACAGAATGTGTGCAGGACAGCAAGATTCTCATCGATGATGTGGTGTACCAGGCCCCCCGCCACTGATGAGTTCATTTTTTGTCTCTCTCTCTGTCTGTCTCTCTGTCTGTCTCTCTGTCTCTCGCTCTCTCTCTCTCTCTCGCACCCTATTTTTTCCTCTCTCCTCAGGTCCGCTACAAGATCCACTCGCTGCCCGACGAGGCCTTGCGGAGGATCCAGGAGTCGCTCGCCGAGAAAAGACAGTTCTTATCAAGTGCACATAGGTGAATGCCAGCATTTCTGTGGCTTTTGCCACTCTCTTCGAATCCCTCAAGGTTTCTGTTGGAGGTGAAAGAGAAGCTGCTCCAGATCATGAAAGACATGAGGCAGCAGGAAACGAAAATCGACCAGCTTCACCCTTAAATGCAAGTTGAAGTATTCTTTTGGGTCAAGGGCCGTCGCCACTGCCAAAGGTCCACGATGGCTGACCTGTCTGAGAAGGAAGCAGCGGTCAGCCACGCGATTGGCATGATCCGTGCCAAGGTGCCCTATTTCGCTGCCATTCCTCACTTCCCTAAACCCTAAACCCTAAACCCTAAACCCTAAACCCTAAACCCTAAACCCTAAACCCTAAACCCTATTATAAACCCTAAATGACCTTACCTTCCTTACGCCGTTTCCTTCTTTTTGTGTTTTGAGGTGGGAGCTGTGCCTCGGTCCGGACAGTGCCGGCTGCTGGGTGGAGTCCCATCCCAGGGCTACGGGGCGCCTTGGCCTGGCTTGGCTTTCGTGATATAATATAATAGAATATAATATAATATAATATAATATAATATAATATAGTATAATATGATATAATATATGTCACCGAACCAAAAGAGCTCCAAGTGTTTTCTTGAAGGTACCGGATGCTGATGCATTGCCCGCGCCCCAAATCCGAAAAGTGTCCGCAGAGCATCTTCGTCTCTGCTGAGGGCAACAGTGGTTTCGGAGGGTTCGCCACTGCCGAGCCAGGCAAGGACAAGTTTCGTGGCACATCGTTCCCTTCCCCAGTTGATGCATGACGAACTGTTCGTACGGATGTCTTTAAACTGTGAGGCTCCAGGGAGAGTGGCATGGATGCATCAAACAAAGACATGGCTGGACAGCTCCCGTGTGCCATCTTTCCTTGAGACAGTCTGGGTCCAAGGCATCTGTTCCGGACTTGATGGAAGTGGAGCTCAGGACCCAGTCAACATCGAAGTATCGATGCGGATTCACCCAATGTGTCATTTTCATATACCGTTTCGAGATGTTGTGCACTGCCGAGGCGCCTTTCGTCGCTCCCAAAACCCATTGGTCCGACCACGTCGGCACTCTTCTAGCCCCACTGAGCCAGCTTGTTTTGTTTCACCTTGGCGGTTTCCGACGGGGCTCCCGGACCATGAGCCCCTCCGGCTCAGACCTCTCAGCAGCTTCGCAGCTGCTTGTCCGGCTGCACCCGCTGCGTCCGCTGCACATCTCGCGGCGCAGGGAGTTCCCGACAGGATGGGAGCATATGCAAGGTTTAAGCACAGTCATGCGCTCGGCAGTTTCGGTGACCCTCGCAGCAGAGAAGTGGGCTAGAAGCCACGAGCATCAACAGTTCGAGGCGTGTGTCTCTGGCTGCTTGCGGCTGTGCTCGTAGGGGTATGTCAGCCCGGTTTCCGGACTTCTTCCCGGTTGTGACGGAGGATCTAGGAGTTGAGCTATATTGGAAGATCGGAAAATGCGTGCTTCGAGACCGTACCGAGCTTTTCTGTGCAGCGAAGGTGGTGGGGGTGCATGATTGTTAGTTTTCAGCACGCCCAGCCGCTCCATCTTAAGGGATTTCTGAAAGCCACTGAATGATGATGGATACTCAGGTGTTGGAAATCTAGAGCTTTGTACTTGGATGTGAGTTGTGCTTAGATGCGTGGAGGACAGATACCGACTTCACGCCATGTCGGGAGATTCCTGGACCGAAACCCCATGGAGCCCTGCTTGCTTTGGTGATTTTGCTTCCTGGCGGCAACTCGCCGTGTCGCATCAGGTCATGGTTTGGCAGCGAGCTGCGGTTTGGCACCTCTGAAGGATCAATTCGGGTCCGGGAGGACCGGTGTGAGGTCTTGAGACTGTTGTGGCACCCGGAATATCGAGTAGCAAGGAGTCCCGCGGCCCTCGTGGCAGCCGTGCTCGCTGCAGTGTCTCAGGCACAAGGGCCTCCTTGGTTGGGACATTTCTTCTCGCCTCCGGTCCAGGCTCAGAATACGATTTGCGACGACTGGTTGCCCGGCCTACCACAGTCTCCGGCCACGTGTCTCTAGAGGAGACCTAGAGCTTGCGCTGCGTTTTGCAAGGGGGAAATTGCGAGGGCCTAAAACTGGTCAGGCCTTGGAGTCGGTGCAGCGGGAGGCCGAGCTCTCCGAGCGAGCAGGCCGGTGTCTGAGTCCCGTGTCACGTTCGCAGCGCTTCGCTTGCCAGGCAAGCACCCGAACATCGTGCGATGCCACGGGATTCTGGTGCAAAACGTTGGTTTGCGCCCTAATGCCATGCAGAGCAAGAGTGCCTCACCCGTTCTCTTTTCTGTCTCAGAGGTGCTGCGCACTGCCAGCTTCTTCTTTGCGAGCCGTGTGCTTCGGACTTGTCGCAACATGTGGCATCCAAGGGCGCTGGCCTGAGAGAGAAAGCTGTCCATCTGTGTCAAGGTACCATTTTGTGCCTCTTCCGAGGTGGCACTCTTCTGGCTGGCGAGCTGGCTGACGCTTGGCCAGATAAGAGGTGCTTGTGGGAGGGAAACGAACCCGAAGAGAAGAGATGAGTTTCAATTTTTCCCCGACATGGGAAGCGCTAGAGTAGGTCCTTATCACGACAGGGATTAGGTGCACACTGACAGGCTTTCCAACCACATCGACAAGTTTTTTTCTCAGGCTGACAAGGGTTTAGGCTCAACCCTGGCAGTTTGCGCTCGTGTGGACTTGAGTTGAGAACTACTTGAGTTGAGAACCTTGACAACCCTGCCCCCAAAAAAGAGATTGCTCCCCGCCGTGCGGCGGAGTGGGGGACGCGCGGGAATCACCATTTTGCCGTGATTCCCAGCAACGGAGCAGCACGGGAGAATCACCATGTTGGCACGTTTATATTCAAGCTCAATTCTACCAAAATGGTGATTCCCCAAACACGCCATTGTAGCATTTTCGCAGCTCAAATCTTCCAAAACGGTGATTCCCCCACCTGTTTGGGGCGTGCGAGAATGTACAAAAAAGAAATTGTCCCCCACCGCGCGGCGGAGGGGGGAGGGGGTACGTGCGGGAATCACCACTTGCCGTTTACACAGCCCAATTCCTTCGGGTGTGGGGGAACGGCAACGCGCGGGAATCACCACTTCGACACTTCTTCTTCCAAAACGGTGATGCCCCGGCGTGTTTGGGGAGCGACGGCGTGCCGGAATGTCCGAAATCGCCATTTTACCATTTTCATAACCCGAATCCTTCAAAAGGGGAGTTGACATGTTGCCGGGACCTGCTATGACAAATGCGAATCCTGTGGCTTGTTTGGGCTGCATGCGCATACGAGCAAGAACAAGCTGCAAACAGTACTGTGCCGCGATTTTGTGCCTGGTCGTTGTTTTCGTGGGGCGGGCTTGATGTCAACGATGCCGACACTATAGTTGTTGGCGACCCTTGAAAGAGGCACAAACTCAGAAAGTACAAGCATGATGGACAATTGACCTCCACTGGCCTCCGGACATGTGTTCTGCAAATCTCCTGCGCCAATCACTTTGCAACAACTTCCACGAACAATTCTGATAACGAGCCTCCGGTACGGCCTTGTCTTGGCTGGGTCAAAAGTCTCACCATCCGGCTGCATAGCAACAACCGAGTGGAACTGCTGATGCTGATGTGCTGCTGCTGCTGCTGCTGCTGCTGCTGATGCCTTGTGGGTGAGGTTTTCATGCGCTGTGGCGGTAAACTTGTTTTTCTGTCGCGGTGCCGATATTTATTGTTATGGTTTGGAAGTTTTCTGTCGTGGCACGCTCGCAAAGAAATCTCAGGATCTTGGCCAGCAGCTGGCAATGGGACTCTCCCATCTTCACAGCCTTGGCATGCTGTGGCTCGGCGGACGACAACAGCTTGGGAAGCGCTTTTGAATCAGTAAATGATCAACCGCCGGTGCCACGTATCATCCACATGTTATGAAGACCGAGTACACGGAGGGTGCCCAGTTTTGCAAGCTCCAGTGAGGGGGGTCGTAGATGTCTTGTGTTGCCGGCAATCAGCGGGTCTCGGTAACATGGGGATCGGGTCAATCAGATCGAGAGACGACATGTCGTAGCATGAACTTCTTTTTACGAAGGTATGGCAGCCTTGCTGCAAGTGGAGCGCTGCGAGGTGCGTGTTATCCGAAGGCAAGCTCTGTTGAAGAATCACAGCGGCAGGTTCCCTGGATGGTCTCTGGAAGCTCGGGGACTTTTCTCGTGCAGCAGCCCTGCTCCTTGGTGCAACTGGTCAAGGGATGGAAAAGGCATTTGGGGCGCAATGGCTTGGAATCGCTTCATTCGCTTCATCAGGCCCGTTGCGGCTTCGGAGTGGCGCAGCCGCAGCGGTGCGAAACCATGCGAGGCGCCCCCTGAGGCTGCGACTGGCAAAGACTTTCATTTGGCATGTTGTGGTGCTGTGCAATCGCAGCAATTCCTGAAGGCCCGTGGTAGCAACGCCCTCAGGCGTGAAACTGCTACAACCTCCCGAGTTTTGGTCTCGGGGTCGCCGAGGCACGGATGATGCACTCAAGCCCGAGGTCCGGTGATGTTTCGCACTCGGACTGTCAGAGCCCTGTTTTGCTTTGCAGGCGGATGTTTGGCTCTTGGCCTCCTTGGTCTTGGCAACACTCTGTGCTGCAAAGCCAGGCGTGGCCATGCGCAGCTGGCGTGCGTTTTGCTTTGAAGCTTTTCAGCATGCGGCCTGAGAGGCGATGCTTTCTTTGCTCTAGCACCAGAGCGGTGGGCCTGCCAGCACTTCCCTGACCTTGCCTGTATGGTGTCGTCGTGACTGATGCAGCAGGCTCCTGGATTCTGCCGTGGCACGGCTCTGGCTGCTGCTGCAATGGCTTTTGGCCGAGGACGGCGCCGTCTGTGAGACCTGCACGGTGGGCGAAATGCGGACCAGGCGCCGGAGGGTCGGCCGAGTGCCAGTGAAGCAGCGGCGCTGCTCGGCACTGCCACCCTGACGCCGCCGCAGGCGTGAACCCATGGCCCATCATGGCCCGGCCTGCGACGGGCTCCCACTCTGTGCTGAGGAGCTGCTCTTCGAGATGCCCAGCCGCGAGCGTCGCCGCTGCTGCGGCGCGGCGCTCGCAGCGGCACGGCAGCGTGCGGCAGAAGCCGCGGCTGCCGAGGAGCGGCAGAGCTCAGAAAGCATAGAAGGCGACACCAAGCATTGAGAGACGAAATGCAGGGCAGCTCCCCTTCGAAGCTGGCGGATCTTCCTCTGGAGAGGCTCGATCAGAGTGGCTTCCCTTAGGGTAAGTCTTCACATGGCATTGAGCAAGCCATCGCGAGCCGGATAGCTTCCAATTGGACAGGCTGCGACACTTTGCTGGGCCTCAGCGTCTTTCTTAGCGTGGTCGTGAGCAATTGGGGGATGTTTCGCTTGTGTTATCTTGTGTTGTAATCCGGAGAGATGTCTCGATTGAGGGTTGACCAGATCTTGCAAAACTGCGGCGTCGACGATGATGGAGTCGGGTGTGCCGAGGAGACTGTGATGTCTGTCTTGTGAAACTCGTGAAGCAACATGTCCTGAAGTTGGAGGATACTCCTCGGCACCTCGCCGGCGGACATTCGAAGCTACCTCCAGGTCATTGGAGCTTGCTATTTTTTCGTGTTGCCCTTCGAGATCCCTCCGTCGAAAGGCTTCTGCAAAGCGAGCTTTAGTCGAGATGTTGCTGACGTTTCCACCAATGCGAGTGGCATGCGCGATGCCCAGCATAATATGCAAGAGTGTCACAGTGAGGGAGTGTTGCGATGTTCCCTGCAAAGACGGCTTTGATCACGGTTTTGTTCCGATCTTGCCTCCGACCGATGGCTTGGCTCTCTTGAAGTGCCCCGAATGATTTCGAATGAGCTTGGTTCAACTTAACTTTTACCGTGACAGCGTAGAGGCTGCAGAAGCTTGATGCAGTCGTCCAAAGTACGCAAGCTGTGTAGAAAGATCAAGCTGAACGTAGATCGTAGTCGCTACTTGCTCTCGTTGCCACCATGGCGATGACAGTGACCGTGTCGTTGATGAGCGGCCGGAGTGCAAAGTTGAAAGCTGAACCAGGGTCCTGGGTGCCTTCGCCTGCAATCAGAAACCTTCGTGTCTGTCTCAAGCAGCATCCGGACACCAACAGACGCCAAGGTTCACGATCTTCGGACAAGAGCTTCGAAAGAACTGAAAACTCCAATCGGCGGCCTGGTGTTGCAGATGCAAGGTGTGCCAAACACAACTCCGCTTGATGAGGACCGGGCCGGGCGGCCGGGCTTGTTGGCTGTGTAGTGTAGATGTAGTAGATGTCGACAGCGTCGAAGAGTGGATTGTCAGGAGGCAACGCTGCAGCAGGCCGGAGTTCGGGATGGCGCGATGCTAAATGCCACGGTGAGGCAGGTGCCTGTAGGTTGCAGTCGGCGCAACGCAGCATTCGCCCTTGTGCGCGGAGATGGAACCGTGGTGACTTGGGGAGATGCACAGTCGGGTGGTGACAGCAGCTCCGTTTATACGAGTCTGACGAAAGTGCAGACGATCAAGGCGACCTCTCGAGCGTTCGCAGCCTTGCGAAGGGATGGGCAAGTCGTCACATGGGGTGATCCTCTTCGAGGAGGTCGAGGCGGACCCAGCTCACATCTGCAAGACGTTACAAGCCTGCAGGCATCGCAGAGTGCATTTGCGGCCTTACGCACTGATGGAAGGGTCGTCACATGGGGTGACACAGCAGCCGGAGCTGATAGCAACTCTGTGTCGCAAAGGTTGCTCGAGGTGAGCTCGATTTCAGCAACAGCTTTTGCTTTGGCCGCCATATGCCAAGATGGACTTGTGGAGACCTGGGGCGACCGCCGCTATGGAGGTGATTGTAGGGCCGTGCAGAAGGAGCTGCAGAGTGTCCGTTCGATCGTCGGAAATGATTTTGCTTTTGCTGCCATCCGTGCCGACGGCAGTGTGGTTTGCTGGGGCAAGGACGATAGTGGCGGCAGCCCAGGTGAGATGCAAGCTCAGCTCGTCGATGTTGTTTCTATCGAAGCATCGAGTGCCGCCTTTGCTGCCATTCGCAGCGATGGGCGGGTGGTCGCGTGGGGTGACAGGCAATTCGGGGGCGATTGCTCCTCCGTGAGGGATCAGCTGATCCAAGTGCAGAGCATCACCGCATCTCGCGCTGCCTTTGCGGCGCTGAAGGCAGATAACACAGTGGTCGTCTGGGGCCACGAGTGACGTGCCCAAAATATGTTGCCGAGGCGCTATAGACGGTTAGTTTTCTAGGCAAGTAGCATGTGGAGCACTGCGGAGCTGGATCTAAGGCAATACGGAGGCACGGTGAGCCTGCAGATCAGCCCACAGCTGAATCATGTCAACTTGATCAAAGCGACGGAGTTCGCCTTTGCAGCTTTGAAAAGTGATGGCCAGGTCGTGGCGGCCTTGGGACGTAAAGACAGGTCCTGCATGTTCTTCGATGTTGGAAGATGTGCGATGTTGTGATCTTTCGAGGTGACTTGGGGCAATCCGGTGGAGGGTGGCGACAGCCAATCGCCATCGATCAAGGACACTGCTATTATGCAGAGCGCATTCTTCATGCTGATGTTGTGGTCCAGTCTGGACTTCCTTCAGGAGAAGCTGCGAGACGTACAGCAGATTGAAGCTTCATCGGGTGCCTTTTTGGCCATCCGTTCAGACGGCAGTGTGGTTTGCTGGGGCAATTCCGACACTCCGCCGCAGAAATATACGCTTGTGTGATTTGTCATGAGCGTGTACAAGCTAAGCTAGCTAAGCAAGTGGCGAAGTAGCCTGCGGAGCTTGATTCCAATCGATAGGTATACGAAGTAGTGAGAAGTAGTGATATTTGCAATCGAGACTGAGGACAAGGGAGCCTACACCAAGCCAGTCGACGCGTACCTGAAGGATGTCCACTGCATCGGGACGTCCCTGAATTGAGTCTGAGGCTCGGTACGTCTTTGCCTCTGGAGTTGTAAGACATGCAACGCACTCTCGAATCGTGCCAGCGAGGCACTATGAGACATGCTGACATGCTGGTTCCAACGCGTGCTGCGACGAGGGCATTTCAAAGCGGGTGCAACAAAAGAGCGAGGCTGTCCGTCATGCACTGCGGCCTCTGCAAAGCTTCATTGAAGCCTCGTCCCTGGTCCCGAAATTCTCCAAGGTCCGAGGAGTCGCGTTTCGAGGCCGAAGGTCGCCATCTTCGGGACTAAGCCCATTCTGGCTCCCCATCCTCCGAGTGCTTTGAGATATGTGCTGGCCAGGCAAAATGGCAGATGAACCGGCTTGCGAGGCGCATGCCTCAAACCGGGTCCTCGAAGCAGTTCTCTGATTCGCTTGTTTCCCCTTCAAAGGCATCTATCGATTTGCTTGGTCTGCAGGGTGTCCTTGGCTGAGACTGTGAAACTCTGAAGAGACCGTACTTCGAAGAGCTTCAGTTTAGCAGAGAGGTGATGTCGTTCATGCCTGAGGCAAATGCACTTCAGTGAGCCAGTAGTATCTGTGCTGTCGTAGTCGTCGGACTCGTTGACGGCAGCTTTTGCTGTGGGCACCGAGCTGCGGCCTCTACAGTTGCCCGCGGCCAGTTTCCAGTCACCAGAGGCTCTAGTTAACGAACTGCCCAAGAGAATGCTTGGAAGCTCGACACCATGAGGAAAGAAGCGCTTGAGTTTGAGTCTGCTTTCGCGAGGTGTGGCCATGTCAGACTACAAAGCGACGTACAGCGCAAATCTGCTTGTGGCCGTGATCTCGTCCAGCCATTGCCGCCTTGTGCAAGAGGTACTGTAAGCCAAGGCTTCTGGCCTGTGGTCGGCTCGCAGCAAAATGGGCATGCAACACATTGCAGTTTGATCGCATTCAGGCAGAAGCCGTATTATAGCTCACAAGTCTCTTTTGTCTGTCGTGGCTGAGAGTGTCTGGTGGACGTACTGCAGCAGTGCTGCAAAGATACCTGCAGCGAGGCTACTGCTTTGCACATTTCACTCTTGTCTTGTTGGCATCGGCGACAGGTGCACAGAAACATGGGCCGCCGTGCCGTGAGGCTTACGCTCGTTGCACATTCCAGTGTAGGTACGACAGAGCTTTCCACATCATCCCGCGTTGGTCTCCATGTCACTGCATGTGCCAAATGCGTGCACCCCTATGATCATGGTGACACCATGTTGACCTCCCCCGCCCCCGGAGTCTCGGCCTACGTTGTGTCGAGACGTGGCCAGGCTGGCCCGTTGGGGAGCCACGGCTTTAGCGGCAGAGGGCAGGAAACGCGGATTGGATGAACTCTGCCGCAAGTCGCTCTTCGGACCCGGCTCGAAGTACGAAACCAGACTCGTTGGGTTCGTGCAAGTCATCGACGGCTTGGACGTTGTCACGTTGAGAATTTGGTGCTCGGCCCGGCCGTGCACTGTCGTGTCCTGCTCGGGAAGCCAAGCAGTGCTTCATGTGCGCAGACATTGGCCGATCCCCAAGACAATGTGGCCTCTGCTCAGCGTGACAAGCAGCAAACACCCGTCGGACAGGGTCCAGCACGAAGAGATGTCCAGCATTTCAGCTTCTCCCTCTGCAATCAGCGATAGCCGTCTGAGCGCTTTGGCGGGCTGAGGCTCCCCAACCCACTCAGAAGCATCCTGAATCCTTCCAACTGCTGGCAGCCGTGGGATTCCGCCAAGTTCGCAGGCTGCTGGTTGTGCTGGCGGCTCTTGTGGTCCTTGAGAGGCACCTTCAGGGACAGGGCTCATCACGGCTCCGTGGCAATGAGTCATCAACAGTAAGCCCTAATGCAGGCCAGCCGGTCACTCGTCAGGTGCAGTGGCCTCGGATTATGCGATGCGGAAACGACGCTGAGTTTCGTCACCATGTCGAGACTGGCGCATACAACTTCGCGGGGCATGTCAGCAGCCGGCACCGCCAAGCGGGCTCAAACCTCATTTCGGCTCGTTTGGCTGAAGTTGTCAAGTTTCTGTCTGTGGAAGGGGTGGCTCGCCGATGCGAGTTCCAGCAGAAGCGCGAGGCTTTGGCGGATTGTCACGCATTGTCTGCTGCCCTTTCGTAGTGAGATGGCAGGCACTTAAGGAGTGCCTGGTGGCTTGGATGCAGCTCCAGATCTGCACAGGAGCGACCCTTTTCTGTGCACTCCACAGGCCCGCGAGTACCGGAGCTTCTTTCGACCCTTCGAGGCCCGGATTGGGAAGCCTCACTGAAGTCGTGGCTCTGCAAATTTCAGTGTCTTTGCAGGCCGAGTTTTACGATGAGGACCACGACTCGGTTGCAGCGGACAGGAGAATCGGTGTGCCAATGCAGGACGTCTCCTTCAAGGATCCACTGAACAACCTCGCTGGAAAGGCCGAGTTGACCTCCCTTCGTGTCGGACTGCTGGACCAGCTGAGAAGCCTGCGAGGACAGCTACAAGGCCAATGTGGAGATGTTGTCTGGAGACAGCTTTGTAGGGCCATCCCCTCGGCACACGCTATGCTGAATTCCATCTGCAAGTGCAGCAAAGTAAAGCGAGGAGAGCTCGCCTAACACATGGGCTTGACTTGTCGAGTTCGTAGGCCCAGGTAGAAGCAGCGGAGCGTAGATGGCTATGGGAGAGTGGGAGATCGGCCTGTGCGCTTGGAGGTTTGTCGGGGCTAAATCTGGAACTCTCCTGAAGCATGGCACACGGGCTTCGCCATCGTGACCGTCTATGCGCTGAAGTAGGAAAAAGAAGAAGCATGAGTCACAAGATGTCCGAGCTTTGCTGGCATCACATCGAGAGGAAGATACCTCGCAAGGCTGCGCTCGGCTGGTTCGGCCGCCTGCACCACTTGCTCAGGAACCTGCTCTTCTCAGACGGCTTCATTGACCTCCATGGTGTGGAGGAGGTGTGGTTTGAAGCTTTTTTCTCCGGCAGAGGTGGCTAAAAATTGGGAGGTTCCAGGGCAGCCCACGCGACTCCGGACACGCTGGACACTAGGACCCCCCCCTGGAGCGCCCCTTCATCAGAGCCAGAGCCGGAGCCTGCCGAGCCTTCTTTGAAGAGGCTTCGTCTTCAAGCTGCTGCCATGGAAGCCCCGGGCCCTTTTCAGCGGGGCCTTGCCCTCAGTCGTTTTGAATCTCGGCGATTTTTGTCTGTGTTTTCGGAGGTGTCCGAGTACGAGATCGACGGGCAGAGTGCCAAGGTCTGGACGCCGTACTCGCTTTCTGATCTCGGTGTGAGAATCTTTCGGGTTGTGAATCTGTCCAGTGCATTGGCTTCCGGTCTAGCTGTTCCTGAGGAGTTGTTTCGTCTTGCTTCTTTCTCGCTTCCTTTACCATGCTCTCCAGCAAAAGCACTTTTAGACTTTTTAGCCTCCAAGCTAGCAAAATCCTAGTCTCCCCCCACCCCAACACTCCAAATGCAAAAGCATATTGAAAGCCGGACTGACATCCTGAACTGTAGAATGTCCAATCCGAAACAGAAAATGCAGCCAGTATCACACCCTGCTCTGACCCGGAAAGGCCCTGACTCGAAAAAGCAGGCCCTAGGATGTCCCGAGAGCGAGTTGATCCGACGAAGAAGAGCGCGCGCCAAGCATCGACTGAGGTGCTTCGTCAGCGTGATTACTGGGACACGCTGAGCTTGCAGAAAGGCTCGGTGGAGATGCTCTGAGAGGGCAGGGAGAGAAATCTGACTTTCGGACAGGTGGCGAGTACGCCGGGGCCTGGCGACTCTCGAGGTTTTCCGCTTCCGCTCACTCCGTTGGCTCTGAGGTTCCGGAGCCGCCTCTCAGTGGCCTCAAGGACGCCTTGTAGCAAACCCCCTACTCTAGCAAAGCCTGTTTGCAAAGCCCGTGCCCTGTGCTCTCTTGAGGATCTCGTTAGCCAACTCCTTCCAAGTGCGCTGAAGCCTGCAGAGGCTCCAGTCTCCAGCAAGTTGCATGCCTGTGTGACTTCATTTGCATTCAAGTTTGGAGTGAGAGTGGATTGAGTTGCCAGTGGTGTGGTCTTCCTTTCCTGAGTGGTGCAGGCTCGCGAGCCAGCCGTTGCCGAGGCCGGAGATCCCGCAAGAATTTCAGAAGTGTTGCAAGTGATGGGGCCAACGCTCAGGACGCAGGTTGGGAGCTGTTGCGAAGAGCACGGGGCCAAGCTAGGAGCACGAGAAATTCTATACCTCTATATATTGTTTGAAGCATCAAGGCTGCAGCCTACCGCATCTACCGCAGCTCCGACGGCTCTATCCTTAGAGAAGTCTGACGGCGTTGTGACAGCTCGTTCATGGAGTCCTGGCCTCACAGCTGAGAGTCACAGTATTCGGCACTCTGCGGCATGAGATCTGCCGAATGGCCTTGTGAATACCGACAAACACACGAGCACCCAGCAACCGCTTTGCTCCAACCTTGCAAGTTGCTTCGGAGATACTCCCGTTCTTGCGAGCTGTGGGAGCGAAGGCGTGTGAGCTTCTCAAGCTGTGTTTCTTGGCTGAGGCAGAACATTCGCCGTTCCGGCGCCGAGCTTCACTGCCGGCCTTGCAGGTGTGAAGGCAGAGATGGAGGCGGTGTGTGCAAAGCAAGGGAAACCGGCAGATACCGGCTCAGAGCGCGTCACGAGCATGAAGCTGTGGCAGGCCCACGGTCTGAAAGCAGGCCAGGTTCGCGAAGTGCCACTCGGCCACTGTAGCTTCATCCTCTCTCACGCTCTGCGGCCCTCTGCGGCCTGGGGCCTCTGCCGATCCTAGGAACGGTGTGCAGTCTCTGGAGCTGGCGGAGAGCCTTGGCCCGCCTTTAAAGGCACACTGGCCGTGCAACTTCGGAGGCCCGTTATGCCCCTTCACTGAGGCCGAACCCGTGGGTCGGTGCGGAAGCCGTGCTGCAGGCTGTGTAACTTGGCTCCACTTATCGGCCCAATGATGGCCGATGCTCTTCAGCGGGAGCTATGGGTGAGCAGGGATGCTAGCCTCTAGTCATCATGTGGCATCTTTGCTGGCCAGTCTTAGCGAATGCTAAGACAAAGCCAGGCATTGTACAGATTAAATTTTCGATGTCACCTAGTTGCAACCATTTTCGTTGCTGCAGCAGCCATTACATGCCCGTAGTGGCTCGAAAAAACATCATTTAGGGAAGGCTGCCGATCGGTACTTCCAAGATCAATGTAGCAAGGTGAGTCTGCATGTCAAGATCGCTGCAAGGGGTTCGCACGCCGGCTGGGCTCAAGGGCATCATCACAGGCAGACTCATACCGTGAGCACTACAATCTCCACGTACCTCCATCTTCGTAGGTCTTCGGGTCCAAGGTCTCCTTGTGAACAGTAGCGCAAGGCTTCTGAGCAGAATGGGCAGGAGCCTGTCCTCGGCTGTGGGGCGCAGCTTCTTGCTTGAGACTGAGATAGTTCGCGCAGGAGCAGGAAGGAGAAGCGCGTCCTCAAGGCCAGGATGCGTCGGCTCCGTTAGAGGCAAAGGCAGGAAGAGGGCCTTCTGCAGGTGATCAAGGAAGGAGCCAGCAAGTCGGCCAAGGCCGAAGCTCTTTTTTTGCGCTCCTTTCCTCGCGAGTCTCGCTCCCTTCCCCTCTTCGAGGGCCTCTCTGGCAAGTACGTCCCAAAGCGTAGTGAACGAGGCGAAGGCCGGTCGGTACTCGGTGTTTGCTCTGTTTCTCTCTTGTCTTCGGAGGGCTCCCCCCAGCAGGCCTCAAGTTCCCACTGGAAATCTATCAGCAGATCGGCAGCTGCAAGCCGGGCTTCTTGGCTGATCTGGGCTTTTTGCTTCGTCGCGCTGGCATCGATAGCCCCAGGGCCTGGCCGCCAGGTACACTGATCAAGTACGCTCCCAATCCGAAGACGAAGGGATCCAAGAGCTTCTCTCGATATGCTAAATACGAGAAGTCCAAGACCATCGGCGAAACTCCGCTTGTATAGGCCGTCTCCTCAAAAAAGATGTGTTGTGTGCTCAATCTCAGGAGAGCATCAAGAACGGAACCAAAGTTGCCGATCTGCTGTGGGCGGCTGCCTTAGCCGGTTATTCAGGAATGCTGCGTCTCAAAGCCAACTCAGGAGCTCCAACGTGGCTACCTCAAGATCCTCGGAAGCGAGCGCTCAGAGAAAGCAGAGGTGGCAGCCATCGGACAAAAGGCCTTCGACGAGGCATGAGCTAGTCAAAAGGGCCTTTTGCACGGTTGGGCAGCTTCGCGATCACCAGGCCATCTACAAGCTCAGCTCCTTCAATGGTCCCAGGGGTATTGTCACCTGGCCTTGCACTTACTCCTACTCCCTCCTGCGACCCACGAGAAAGTATTCAACGTTTTGAAGACCCGAGCCAATGTCGACTCGTGCTGACGAAAGCTCCTTTCGATCTTTTGTCTCTTTTGGTATACTTGTAGTCGTCGATGGCTGCGGAAGGCTTTTGACATTCGCGACGAGCGTGCCGCCGCCCAGCATCGGCTGGATGAGGAGTGGCGAACGAAGAAGCTCCAGAAATGTGCGGCCCTTCCAAGGGTATTGTCATCCAGAGCGATGGGCAGAGGCTCTCACAGGGGATCCTGTTTTGTCGGCCTCAGGCGAGCGGGTGGCCAGAGAGCTGAAGCTGCAACCCGAGTCCACGGAGCAGATCGAAGCGATGCACATCCCGGAGGAGTGCCTTTGCAGAGCTTTGCGGGTTTTTTTGACTCTATGCCTGCAGTCAGGACCGAGACCTCCGCTTCGAGAGGCGAGTTTGCGATGCCTGGTGCCAGAGACAAATCCAGAAAGCGGAGAAGGAAAAGCGTCGCTCGGATGAACGGATCTGAGCTGCGTCTGCTGCGCTAGAATCACAAAGAGAGCATTGCAGGTGTAACTTGGGTTTAGTCGTGGTTTAGCCTAACAGTATGGACGGACGGTGACCGTACTTGGCACTCCAGTCTAGAATACCTGATGTGGCAGTTTCATGCTTTTCTCCTTGCCGAAAGCTTCGTGCATGGCGGCGTATACTTGAAACATCAGTTCTGTATTTCTTGGATTGGAGTTTCGATTTTGTGACGCAGGGAAGGTGACTCAAAAGGATGTCGAAGAAGCGCTGAGCTTGTGGGGCTTCGGCCAGAATGCAGGCGGTCAGCAGACAGAAGTCTGCTTGAATTCATTACCTGATTCTCCGGGCAGGCCGCCTCAACGTTCTGCAGAAGGGCCAGAAGTACGCCTACTCCGACACGTTAGGCTGCATTAGGACCGGCTTGGGAGGCCGCTAGAGGGCAAGATATGGCTTGCCATAAGTCATAAGCAGGAGGCTGAGCCGTGGCATCGGCGTCACCGAAGTGACGAAGCGGTATCCGAACTTTGGCCGCCACAGCCACGGACAAGAACGACATCTGTCGGAGTGCTAAGACTAAGATGCTGACATTGCTTCCCAAGGTCTCCTGTGCAGATGGCTCAAAGATAACCTGCCCAACGAGGTGAAGGGGAAGTTTGTTGATTCCTCAGCGGAACCTAAGTCCCGCCTCGGCTTGCGACGGGGAGCGAGTCTGAGGTCTGCTCGGCCATCAATCTGAACGCCAACTACGGTGCGGTGCTCCACCGTGTCAGTCACCCAGGCACCACGGAGAAAACGGCTGAGCGCAGCATGCTCAGCTGAGGACGGGAACAACGAGGGCCCATCCATCATCCGGGCCTTTGGCAACTTCAAAGGTGGAGCTCTTCGGTACTGGCCAAAGGAGCCCACCGGTGTGCCAGATGTAGGTCCATTATTTGTTGGCTTGGAAGGATCGCAAGCCAGCGAAAGCGAAAGCAGCGGTGAGGCCCAAGCTCGAAACGCTGCACCGGAAGGACTCGAAGGTTCTTCGCCCTAGGCCCTAGCGAGTGCAAGTTCAAAGAGGCCTGCAAGCGACTGCTCAGACCTTCGATATCTACCGCCGCACGCTGGTCTTCGACGGAACGCGAGGACACTCGGTGGAGCCCTTCCAAGGTGTCCGCCGCATGCCGGCACTTAATCGTGGGGATTCATTTCTGTTCGTTTTCACCTTGCGATTTCTGGATGCGACGGCCGAGGTTATTCCGTCGTCTTCTTCACCTGCATGGGATATGGCAAATGCAGCAAGACCGACACTGCCGCATCTGAGCTAAACTGCGAAGCCCAGTTTTGGGATAGCGCAAGAGATGCTCCCAGGCCCTGAAGAAGTGGGGCTTCCCTTGGCCAAGTCCGCCGAAGATGAAGGTGCCAAGAAAAACACACATCTTGGCACTAGGACTAGGAGACTCGATGAGACTCGTGTGCGACAGGAGCTGAAGAAGCTCGCCTTCTCTGGTGATGCCTAAAGGATGCTGAAATGGCGCATCCAGGGGAACAAGCGTGGGTCACGGCGAGTGACTGTTAACACGCTTTTTGTGATTTTGTGGGGTATGCCCAGACCATTCTGAGCCAGGAATTGGAGTGCAAGAGCATACGAGATCAGATGATTCTAGATGGGTTCTGTACGGCCCGGCAATCAGGGCTACCTGATTTGGGCAGACATTCAAAAAGTCGACTGCCTCGTCCAGTGGCTTTGCAATTGCTTGCTGCTCTTCTTTGTAGCAACATCAGCAGCAGGAGTAGGAGGAGTAGGAGGAGTGGGAGTGGCACTAGCAGTGGCAGGTGGGATGTGCGCACCAGTGTCTTCGACAATCCCAAGCCAGGTGTTCTCCAAGTATCCTGTGGCAGGCACCAAGCAATAGCTTGTTGGCCGGAGGAGGGTCTGAGAATCATGGAAGCTTCGCGGACGTACACCGCATAAGGTGGTGCGCATGACTCCAGCAGCCATGCTTTTCATCTTTTGTTTGCCTTCGAGAAGAACTCTACCATGTTCGCTTCCGGCTTTGCTGCACCAGCTGCTAATTGCTGTGGCTTTCCAGGGTTGCAAGATGCAACAACACCAGTCCGGGAAAGCTACCAAGCGAGCTCTTCATAGCTTTTCGCGTGTGTGTGCTGCTGCTGCTTGCATCAAGAGCTTCGAAGGGCCGCGAAACGCCCAGGCCCGCGAATCTTGTTGCTTTGTGGGTAAGCGCAAGCGCTGTGATACACGTGCTTGGGGTCCCTCATGTTTCTCCGATGAGAGGTTGAAGCCGTCCGAAATGCCGGACGAGCGGAGCCCCTTGAAGGCGCGAACCTCCAGAGGTGTTGCAACTTTTCAGTTGACACTGGCCTGGCCGGCAGGGCCGTGGCAGACAGTTGGTCCTGCCCTGGGAATAGCGAGCGGCGAGCGGCAGGGGCACAGACTTTGGCATCGGAACCAAGGCACGTGCGGGCGCGGAGCCTGAACCCCCTGCACCAACACCGCCAGTGGATGAAAACGTCACCCAGGCCCTGTGAATTTGTGATAAGCTTTGGAGTTGTTCGGAACTGTAGGGGGATCTCGATCGTCGAGACACTGCAGGCAGAGAAAGATGCGCACATCAGGCCGCGGACGTGCACTGATGTGCCCTGGAAGTTACTTTGCCTTAAGAACTCTAGACTGGAGGAAGGCGCGGAGGAGCCATTGCTAAACTATGATGTGATGATACTGGTACTTCAAGTTTCGCCGCATTGTGACGCCACGATGGATCAGGCGAGTCTACTCATCGGTCCTTGCAAAGCCTAGAGTACCTTTGGGGTTCTAGGCTTCCGGGAGGAAAAGTTCATACGGATGAATACGAGACCAGACCAGCTTACTTTGGCAGTGTAATGTTTGTTGAGATGTACCGACGGGCTGCATGATGTGTGTCGCTTAAATACAGCTACTGCTGCTGCTGCTGGCGAAACTGCTGTCCAGCCGACGTTTTTGTTTAGACTTGGCTTTGCCATTGTTTCAATTATTTCTTCTTGTTAGGATTATTAGGCAAATTGAATGTAGGCTCTTCACTAACCCCGAAAAGCCTGCAACCAAACAAATCTAGCACCTAAGCTGTAGGGATGTAGCAAACCCTAGGCAAGCCGATCTTGGTTGGCAAATCCAACACCCCAAAGGGAGATATTGGTTGGTAAACCTAACCTCGAAAAGGAGACCCGAAACCCCAAAAGGAGATGTTGCTTTGTAAACCACGAACTGTGAAGGAAGCGAAGGTGGGCAACCCAACAATTGCTTTTGGGGCTAGGGGTTTGCCAACCGACATCTTTTTCGGGGTTTTGAAAGTTGAAGATTTGGTAGCCGGCATTTTCTGTTGGGGTTTGCGGTTTGCCAAGCAACCACATTATCGTTTGCATTCATTCTCCTTATTATCATGTTGCATCATTCGTTCATCTTTCGTGCATCGGTTTTTACTGCCTGGGAAAGGGAGCGCGTCAATCCTGAATTTTAGATAATTTAAATGAGGAGGGAATCCAGGAATTTCCTAGTTTTCTGTTCATATTGTCAATCGTTTGACGCACAAAGGCCCGAACCGTTCCTCAAACGATAAACAATGATAGCGAACGATAGTAAAATGATGATGGAATCAGGGGTGAAAAATAATGGATAAACGAAACGCCGAATGAACTGAATGACGAACTGTTTTGTAGAGCTTGCAAGATCTACAGAATCTCATAAGGTTGGGGTTTGCCAAGCAACAGTGTCTGTGAGGGTGTGTAGTTTGTCAGTCAAAATCTCCTCTTAGGGTTTGGGGTGAGCCAGCATATTCTTTCAGGGTATATCTGTTGCTTGCCAACCAGCAGGTCTCCTCCTTTCGGGGCTTTGGGTTGCCAACCAACATCTCTTTTCAGGCAAACCCTAGCCCTAAATCCTGAAGCGAAGACTCTGTTTGCTTGGCAAGCCCAAGACCCCCAAAGGAGATGTTCGTTGGCAAACCCCGATCCCCAGTCAGAGCAAAAGACAACATGGCATAGGTTATAAGTAATGTGTAAGAGCACAGACTCCACACATCCGAGGTGCTCTGCGTCGCCCTGTGGGTTGCAAGCCTGTATGGTCTTTACTTGACCATCAGTGCCTCTGATACGGAGAAGCGGCGGGTTTTTGCATGTGTGTTGGGTTTGTTTGCTGAACGGCTTCGTTCTGGCTCCATCGTGAGAAGCAGCTGAGTTTATGCCTGGGAGAATGGGGACACAAGGCGCCTCTACCATGGTCAGCTTCCAAGCTTCAAGCCTCTAGATGGATGAAACTGGCATGAAGTGCTGGCCTCCATTGGTGCTGCCAAGGCCTGAACTGGGAAAATCAGCTCTGCGGCATCGACGCCGAAGTTAGCGCTTGCACCCCAGAAGCCGCATGTCGACGGTCGGGGTGTGACGAGCATGTGGTCTCTGCAGGCGAAGCCGTATCTGTACTGGTGCACGAAGCCCAGCGACAATGCGCTAAGCCAGGCGGCTAAAGCAGGGACAGGGAGCTGTTCGGGGAAAACGCCGACACATGAGATGGTCTTGGTGCGTGACCAGGGTGATCTGTCGGCAGCCAACCTGCCCAGCTCTATAAGGGATGCGTCGCTTGACTGAATTGGGCTTGTCTGGGCTCTTTCTCGCATTGTCATACCAAGGGCTGGTGATCTTATACCCTTGGCCAATGCAATTCTGAGCCCTAGTGAGACGATGGATTTGTTGCATCCGCCCCGTGGCTTGCATGTCGCAGCTTCGTTTCGATCCTTTCTCCCAGGCATGTCCGATCAGCACTCAGGAAGGTCGAGGCGAGCATGTCACCAAAAATAATTGTTTTGCGAGGCGTGTTCGATGACTGTCGCAGTTGCACAGCTCTCTGGAAGCTAAGGATTTGTCTCGCATCTTGCCCGCAGGACCGCAGCACATTCCATCCTTGTCTGCAGTCGCCAGGCTGAAGTAGTCGCATCGACTTTTCTCGGATCTCGTGGAACTCCGCGTTGGGTCTCAGGAACGTGGACACGCAGCAGCAGGTCCCGAGGAACTTCGACGGAGCCTCGGAAGCAGCACAGGCCGTGTGGGACATGGCAGCGATCAGAAAGTTCCGGTTTTACGGGCTCTCCAAAGCTGCTTGCTGAGGTAGCTTTTGGGTGAACAACACCTACATCTCCCATCTTGATGCTCGATAGCATTCGCAAGGGATCCTCCTTTTGGGTTTCTTTTGGATGGGGGCGCGAGAAGCAGGGCGACATGCGGATTCTAGTACTTGCGTGCTGCGGAACGATTGTGCACGTATCCGCTTATCGCTTAGATCCGTCGCAAGGCTTTTGAATTGGCAGATCGTGCATAAAGTGACTGATGTTGAAGGTCACGAGAATCTGTCATCAGTGCGTGCAAGTAACACATCGTGGCCCAGGATTTGGTCGAACTGGGCGGCCAAACATACTAACCGTAACCGCGCAAGCACTAGCACAAGGGGGGAGATAAAGCACTAGCGCAAGGGAGGAGATGGGGAAGGGGGAACAGGTGGGGCCAGTAAGAATGCATACGATCGGGTGCTGCTGCTTTTCAAGGCAGGTCAGGACCAGGATGCTGAGGGCGTTGTGTACCTCAGGTTCAGGACATAGAGACAACGCTCTTTGCAAAGCGCTTCTGCTTGCCGAAGGAGCCTATGAATCTGTTTCATGTGCTTCAGCATGCCTGCAGTTGCCAGTGGGTGCCAGTGGGCTAGCGGCTAGGAGAACTTTCTGGTCGAGTGCCTCGGCGAGTTGTCGTGTCGGAGTGCTGGAGCTCCGGCTCGAAGCGGAAGAAACTCTCCTCGCATGGAAACGTGTCGGTCCGTTGCGAAACCGTAGGAAACCTGGAAGCCAGGCAGCTCAACGAGACGCTGAGTGGCTCGATGAATGCAGTGATGTACAAGACGCAGGAAATCGTGAGTGCTCGCCGCGTCTACATCCTGGCAGGAGCGATTTCGGTGCCCGATCAGACTTCAAGAGGCTTTGAACGACTTCTGGTTAGTGCAGGGCTTCGTGATTTTCGCTGCGACCGAATGTAGAGTCGAGTTTCAGCGCTCTTCTGTGTCCCGCGGGGGCAGCTGATTGGTTACAGATTAGAGAGGATGGCACAGCCAGCGTAAACATTTTGCCAGTCCTTCACACCTCCAGGAGGATTGGCTGTTTCGTGGCTGCACCTGCGATCCAGGGTCATCTGAGTGCTGCTGATTCACTTCGGTAGCTATCTGAGATCCTGATGTGCTACTTATACCTCTTTGCCATTGATCTCCTTGCAGCGCCCGCTTCGACCTCAGCTGCGGAGTGCGTCACAGGCCTTGCACTGGCAGTATGCTCAGATCATCTACGGCATGCTGCTCATCGCCACAGCTGGGTCTTTCTTGACTTCGCTGTACTTCTTTTACGCAGCCTTGCGCATCGAAATAGGCAGGGCCCGGGCACTTCTTACCACGAGCACGCCAGTGACACAATGCAGCCACGTCTGGGGCTGTAGGGCTTCAGTCTTTCATGTTCAGCGTTTTAGGGTTTAGGGTTCACGTGGTTTGAGGCTTAGGGGTTTCAGGATGGTTGGTGCCTAAGGTCATCTGCAGGAACGTCGCCGAACACACACTGCTTAGCAAAGTCAAGCGGCGACAAGTTTATCACGAAAGCTAGCTATTTTGGAGCTTGCGATTTGGGTCAATCGAGACTTCAGGGGCCTGTAGCTCCTGGTACACCAGGGATCTATCGGTCAGGGGGAGAGACCTTCTCCCCCCACCTTGTTCCCTGATCCATCAGAGAGGCCGCTGTCGGTTCGGAAGGGCGGGGGGGGGGCCCCCTACCTGGAGACCCCCACCTTCCCACCGAAATCAGGGGTTCAGCAAACAGACAGGAGAGCTGCTACCATTCGGCAACATAGCCGCAGCATACATCCGCACAGCTGAAGACAGCAAATATCTGTCCAATCACAGCATACAAGAAGCACTGCATCATTCACGTTCGCTTACCAGCAACTGCAAGGAGCCGCTCCTCCAAAGATCACAAAAAGATCCAAGACTCCGTAGTCCTCCAAGCTCTAGCTGTTGCGAAGGATGGTTCAGAGCTCTGTTCGCTGTTGCTTCTTGAAGTCTTTGGTGGAATCCTTGAGGCCGCTTAGAGAATTGAAAATTACACTTCTGGTCAAGCTGCCAGGACAGGCCCTGTCAGTGAGCGAGGAGGCCGGGAACGCTTTGCTCATGGTAGATGGCAGCATCCAAGCATGTGGTGTTTGAGGTACCAGTAGTGGCCCAACCAAAGTTCCACATTCCTCGCTTCCTAAGGCTCTGCCTATGGTAGAAAGCACGAGCGCCCTGTCTGATTGAGTCATGGGTTCCTCTGCACATTGGCTGGCTCATGAGTTGTGAAGTCTTGTTGGGTTGGGACACGCTTGGGAAATGCTGGATTTCCGAGATGATCGTAACTGGGACCTGATCGTTGGCGCAGTACTTCTTCTTATCGGCATCGCGACTCTTGGCAGAGAGCTAACAACCACACATCCGCAATTGACATGTGTGGATGCGGAGCAGTCTGCTTGGCATTAGACGGGCCCAGCGTACAGTTCCATGAGCGACTTCGCCAGCAGAAGCTAAGGGCAACTTGCTTCTGGTGTGTCCTGACAGCAAAGTAGCTCCAGAGCAGGACCAATCGGAGGGTACCATTTTCCAGGCTGCAAAAAGAACTCCATCACCTTCGTGATTGCTGCAGTCAAAGCGACTATTCGGATACTTTATGACGTCTGGCACCAAGCAATCGAGTTTCTGTGGGCAAGGATTCCATGAGGTACAGAGAAGAGGTGATTCGGGACAGGCTAAATGACTTGAAGGTGGAGGTCCATGTCTTTACCCCGCGACTGCTCTTCGCTTGAGGTTCCTCAGCTTATCCTGCTGCCTGCGGCCGGTGCTGTCGTTCGTGGTGTTATCTTCATCATCTTCTTGTGGCTTGGCTTCACATTCGGTGCGGAGAGCTGCAATCAAAGCTAAGCAAGCACAAACTCGAGAATCTGCGCAGTGAAGGTGGGGTGCTGCTCTGCTGGTCTCTGCTGGAGAAGTTGTGCCCTGGCTGCCCAGAGCGCAAAGCTCTCCGACAATCAGCTGTCCTAGAGAGATTTTCAGGAGCGATGGTCTCGTAGGGAATTGAAACAGGATTCCGGATTCCGGACAACTTGCAGTTGTGCATTGACGCGTAAAACCATGTGCAGCCGCGGGTGGCTCACTGTTGCGATTAGCTGCGTTATCATGCTTCGCAACCACGCCGTAGATTTTGCAGTCTTTCCGGTTGCAACGGGGCAGTGTGCAAGGACGAACGGTTGTTTTTTTGATGGTATTACAGCTGCACAATATTAATGCTACCAAAGCTTCCAAGATCACCAACAACTGCTTTGGCAAAGTTCTCGAAGCTGGCTCAGGAACAAGTGGATCTCACTCAGTATGTGCCCAAAGGCATCGCCCGAACATTCTCTCACTCTCAAGATGAGTCGCCTCTTGTTCGCACTGGCCTGGCGACTGCAGTACACCGGCATGATATTTGGATTTGCTGTTCAATCCCAACGTTGTAGTTTCATAGTGTTCCTGGTCATCACGAATGATTCGGCAGCAAATCGAAAAGCGTGCACAACTTCGTGGGCATCCGGAGGCTTTACATTGCCTACTACTGCTTTTCTGTTTTCTGGATGTGGGAGTGGCTCGGCAGCAGCTTGCAGCAGTATGCGAGCGTTTGACAGACTTGAGGGCCTCTGTTTCGCGCCTTTTCAGGCTGCTGCTTGCCTTGGAGACCTTTGCTTGGATCTTACAAGGGTGAAGAGACATGAGCAGAGAGGCTTTCAGACGTGGCCTTTCAGGTAGCTTCCTATACAGTGGTCATCTGGTACAACGCCCCATTGGCAAATGGAAAGAAGCGGGTGCCTGGCCACTGAGATCAGGCAGCAGTCTCTTCACGAGTGTCGCCCGAATGCAGGTGCCCTGCTTCCCCGTTGTGCGAGCCTTCTTTGTGGGCCGCTTTACTCAATTTAAAGGAAATTCACAAACGGCAGGAGTGTTGCTGCTGATGTGCCCTGCTTCTTGCCATGTTCCTGTCTCAAGGGCTGACATACCATCTCGGGAGTTTGCTTTTCGGAGCTGTTCCGCGCTTAGTGTTTTCTGCCCAGCAGCCTTGGCCTGATTGTCGATTCCGTTCTGTACAGATCATCCTGGCAATCTTTCGCGGTGCTCGCTTGATCGTGTCCTTGCTCGAATCGCAGGCCGGGGAGGGGCCGAGAGCCAGCGACCTAAGTGGAAACGGAAGAAAGCTGTAAGGAGAGACAGCAACCACGTAGTTGGAATGCGGGCCTGCTTTGAGGCAAGAACATTCTTCTGACGAGATATCTCCCTGTTCCGAGATGATGGTCCCTCTGGGAGTAGTCAAAGCAAGTGACAGCACAAAAGAACAAGCTAACAAAGAAGTCAAGACTTGTCCTCCGCAGCAAACTCGGCTTCGCAGCGTGAACACTTCCGGCACGTGCTCTCACCAGACGAAATGGCTCGCGCATCGATCTTCGTGATCTTGCCTTTCTTGGCCGCGGCTGGTCCAGATGCACTCCGGGGAACGAAAGACGCCATGGCATGCTCGGGCGACGGGACTCCCGGCCGCGGTGTTTCGTAGATGTTTCGTAGAATCTAGAGTCTGGCCTCAGCTCTCCTCAGCGCTCCTTGAGTCTCCTTGCTACCTGCTTTTAGGAACCTGCCGACCATCGAGACCGGGAGCCCTCGTTGCTACGGTGGGCAGCTGTTGATGGAGACCTTCTCGCTCAAGCTCCTCAACTACGACGGCTCAACGGGTGTGGTGGACATGAAGGCCGAGGGACCTCAGGCTGGCCAATGCGATGGCGCAGCATTCCAGAACCAGGACGCTTGCACTTTGACTGCCACATACTGCCACAGTTCCGAGTCTTTAGTGCGTCTGGTGACGCACTCTCACTTCGAACCCTCGGCAGCAAAGCCTCAAACAGCAGCTCCCGTGCTGCATGCCAGCTTCGCGCTGGTGGTGAAACCACAAGATCCTGCAGCAAACGGATAAGAGCACCTGGAAGGATGATGTTTTGATATGTTTTGATCTTGAAGAGAGCACTCCTTGGAAAAACTCCCAAGAAAGGTCCAAGGTCTGATCCCCTGCCCGCATCCCCGCATGACAACGGCAAGACAAGCTACGCAGCGCAGCCCCGTCAGTCATGTGTTCATGCCGGCACAAGCTGTGCAGAGTCCCCAGAGTCTAGAGGCCTAGTGCGGTGCTTTCTGTAAAGAACCGATCAAACCAGACCCCCGATATGAAGCGTTTCCTTGTGCACCGGCCGCCCCACACCGAACCATGATGCTGCATGCGTGCGGAGTGGAAGAGAGACACGGGTTCCATGAGATCTGCCTCACTCATAATGTCGTAGCCAGGATAACGCGGTGACAATCGAGAACGAGGCTGATTGTGGCCTGGGCTCTGCGGAGTACAGTGTCAGGTATTGCCCGGATCAGGACAAGTTCCTCGTCAGCATTTCGAAGCCCTGGACTGTGCAAGTGGCACTCTCCAGCCAGGAGTGCCCAACGCCAGTCGCTGGCGGGGAGGTCTAAGCTCCAAAAGCGCCAAGCGCACCAAGGGCCGATCCGAGTCTTTTGGATTCACGGCACCGAGCAGGATCGGTGCTCTGGCTGGCAATGTCCAGTCTTGCACGCCAATTCGAAAGGTTAAGGTCTTGAAGAAGCAGAAAGCCAGAAAGAGGTCGCGAGACTTTGAACCCGCTGGTCAAGTTGTGTAGAAGTGATTCATGCATCTCCAGCCGACGCTAGCCCATCAGCCAGAGCACCTTCACATGTGGTTCTGCTTCCTACGGATGAGTCTCAGCATGGTGGCACAAAGAGTAGCAGGTAGCAGAACTTGTTTTTGTCTTTGTCGTGGAGCTGCCTGTGACATTCGGTGCCGACAGGTCCGTGGCAAGGGTGACGATGAGAACGTCACTTGGACAAGATTTCGATCGAACAAGCGCGCCACACTGAAAGAAAGACGCCCAGGATGCTGCGCGGACAACTGCCGCCTGCTGCTGCTGTTGCTACTTGGTTCTGTTCTACGTTCCGCAAGTGTCGATGCAGAGGCCACACATTCCAAACCTGGAGTTACAGCACATGGGCGTGAACAGACGCAGCAAGTTTAATTGGGCTGGGCCGTGAGGTTTGTCGTGCGTGGATCAGATCCTGCGATACCTCAACAAAGGCCTTGCTTGGGAGACAGCATGTCACGCAACATGCTCCTGTCTACAGGAGCCTATGTACTGATTGCCGTGAACTCCGACAACTACTGTTCGGCTGCAGACAGGACAAGCCAGTGTTCGTTGTTTGTCTGTCAGTGGACTGAGTAGTCACTGAAGATTTCACCTGCGAAGGGCCTTGCGTCTCATGGCCTCCAACATCTTTGAGCTCGGCTTGCTGCAGGGCGCCACAAGCTTGTTCCAGGTGCGCTCCAGTCAGCCCGAGCAAACGACCGTTTGTGACCTTGCAGCAGGTGCTTGGGAATGTGGCGATTCCTGGACTCGGGGGATACCTCACGTACTTAATCGCCACTTGCAAATCTTAAATGAGCGCTGTGAGCTTGGGCTTGGGCTGGCTTGGGCTTACATGCTTTTGCCAGCTTCGTCGAGGTTCGGCATTTGGAGTGGTTCAATGATCCTGCTTCAGATCACTTCGTGGCGCAGCCGGACCTGGTGGCAGCTTGGGGCTCAGTCAGCCTAGGGCCTAGGGCAAAAACCGCCGGCAGCTGACATGAAATGCAAAAGTTGCCTTTGCAAGCTGCAGGCCTGGCAGTTGAGTGTAGGAGAGGCCTTCTCCTTCCCTCGGCACAAACGAGCGGTGAGGTCGTGGGTGCCCTCATCTGCTTGGCAGTCTCGCTGGCATTCATGTCCGTCTTTGACACTGCCCATGCCTGAGATCTTGCCTGCATCGCTTTGCAACGGTCAGAGCTCTCTGAGGTTTCTGATGCCATGATCTATGCATACATCACAGATGAGGAATGGAGGCACCTAGAGCTTCAAGTCCAACAGCAAGCTGCATGTGTGGAGAGATCTCTAGAGAGCACGGCCGCTCGAGTCCGTGTCACTGGCAAAGTGGATCTTGTCAGGCAAGAGAATCGTCTGCCTCCGAATCCGAACATTCCGCCGACACAGAGCTGAATCTTTAGTAGCTTCGGTCGGCCTAGACTGGCTTGTTTTCTGACCGGAAGTGCCTGTTCAAGCAGTGCACTGTCACGTGCATGCTAAAGCCAATTGACACGTGTGACAGATGGCGGATCTGCATTGGTAACCTGAACGAGTGGCCTGCCGAGGAACTTGAAGAAACTTCTCCCGGATTCCCAGCAGACTGATGACGAGTAGAGGTCTCTTTGCTGGCGCTGTCTGAAACGATGGTCATATGCACGACTTAGTTTTAAGCTGCTCGTAGACGTTACGCACGTTCGTTAGGTCTCCAGCCCTTGGCCCTTGTGTGGCATCCGGGCAGTTTAAGTCTTCGCTCCAGTCTTTACTGGCGGGAGCACTTCTCGTACTTTGTCGCAGCGACCGCGTGCAAGCCTAGAAGAGCCTGTCCTTTCAGCCTTCCAGCTCCCACTGCTAATGCGCTGGGGAACTGCTCTGCGAACCGCGAAGTGGACTCTGCCGAAAAGCCATCATCTCCGGGGGCCGATGCGCTTTGTTCGGCAAATAGGCTCCTTGGTCCTCTGCACTTGTTTCGTCCTGGCTCGAAGCTTCCTCGGTGTAGGCCATTGAGCAGCAACATGTGCAACAGATCAAACTGCAAACTCACCAGACTCAACTTGTGACCAAACAAGTCTGTCGTACGGAACGTCAGGAGTCAGAAACTCAGCTTGACCTTGTAAGATTCATACAAATAGTATGGTGGATGAGTCGCCAACGCCCGTACCGCCAGTAAAGCTGCGAAGTTGCAACTGTATCGCGGAGTATCTTTGCCTTGGGGTTGTCTTTGGCAGGCACACATTCCCATTGCGTCACTACCGCAAAGGACTTGCATTCAGATTCGGTACGGCCATCATTTTGACAAGTAGCAGAAGCCCGGACGTTGTGCACATTCGGGGTTGCTGCACAGCGACACCCAAGGTCTTTTTCGCAACTGCAAGCGCCACTGCTGTCTGCTCGTCAGCTGTCTGACTCGCGGCGGCAGTGCAAGCTACCGCATTTAATTGTACAGTATTTAATTGTACAGTGGCCAAGAAGATCCTCCAAGAGTCCCCACAAAGAGACAGAAACTCAGGATCGCCAGATTGATGTCGAAAATCTGCCGCACTCGAAGAGACCTGTGGGAGCCTCAGGACTCCGGAAGGACGAGCCAGTCCACCATCGTTTTTGAGTTTTGCCTTGCTCTCTCTCCGTCCCGCTATCCCTCCCTCTCGCTCCCACTTTCCCTCCCTCCGCCTCCCTCTTGATGAGCCGCAGCTTGAGAAATCCCGGTTGTGTGTCCATGCAGAGCAGAATGTTTTCATGAATGACAGCACCTCATCACGGATGGCCCGCTCATTGCAGGGAGAACAGGGAGGCGCAGGTTTCACCTTTCAATCGTTGTGTCGGCAGACTGTTGGCAGACTGTGGCTTTGACACGCGGTTGGCCCATGGACTCAAGCTGTCCAACATTCAAATCCAGCCACGTGAGCAAGCTTGCAAGTCCTTCTGTGTAGTGGTGGCGTCAAGAGGCACGCACCCACCTGAGCCTGACAAGGAGGGTTCTGTTTGTTTAGGAGGCAGGCCTTGAAAAGATGCTGCAACAACGATGTGCCCAGGAGTTTCACTCAATAAGACTGTTGGGTGAGGGAGCATGTATCAAACATAGGGACCTTCGGGTTCACAACTTCTGGAATCCCGCCCGTATAGGATCCTGGTCCTTATGCTTCATCCAGGGGTCGAATAATTAATATTAATATTCCCGCATCGTTCCTCACATATGCATATAGCAGCATATACACTGTCTGCATGACCTCTCCGGTCCCCACTCGCCCGACATCATATTCTGGCAGTCGAGGCCCTGAGTTAGAGGTATGGTGCGTGTGGTGTGTGCGCGTGCGCGTGTCTGCAGATGAGTCTGTGTCTGACACCTTCAGGTTGACGATCTGTTCGACTTCACACAGGAATTCATCGAGCGGGGCTACCATGCAGAGCCGCTCCGCTTCTTTGGACGATCGTTTACCTTTCCCTTCCTCCCTCCCTCCCTCCATCCCTCTCTCTCTCTCTCTTTCGCGCTCTCTCGCTTTCTCTCTTTCTCTCTCGAGCTCTCTCCCTCTCTCTACCGGCGACTGTCGGCAAAGCTTGCTGAGTGGAGAGACATAGCGGTTTCTGTTAAGAGTTGCCTCTTCTTCCCACATCGTGGCCTCCGCTCATGCTCCAACAGCACTTCGGGTTCCAACGAGGAGAATGTAAGTATGTGGACTATGAAGTTCTTCGCTGCAGTCACGGATGCTGCAAGAGGTGTAGTGATGATCTGTGCTATAGGATGGAAGATGCCTGTTCGAGCAACAGCTGTCGTGATGTCCAGAGTAGCTGTGTCTGGCCATGTTTGAGGTACGCCAACTGGAGAGACTCATACCTGAAATGGCGTACCTTGTCATGAGAAATGGACTCTACCCCTGGGCGTGGACGGTGTATCAGGGCAGTCGGACTCAGTAAAGCAGCTGCCATTCTACAAGTCGCGGCAAATTCCTCCAATTGGTTGTCAGCACGTGCATGTTTCATTCCGTGTTGATCCCATCTGCAGCAGTATGATCCCAAAAAGGACAGGGCGATGCCAAGGGAGCCAAGGGCGAAAACGCCCATACCACGCACCTGCGAAACAGGCTTCACAGCTTGCATGGTGCGGGCTGTGGCTTTGTGTGATTGTGCGTATTTGCACACCAAGCTGCTCGCTCGGGCACAAAAAGTTTCAACGCATCTGGCGCACTGCTGTGGCAGGAAGCAGCGCACCTTCGAATACTGGTACCCGACAGTCTCCAACTTCAACTTCAGACGCACCTGTGCCTATTGGAAGCTCGGTCGAGTTCTCTGGGCTGCTGACCTGCAGGCACTCTCTTTTCACCTCCATCGCATTTGCCCGAAATTTGCTGGGAGAGTAGGCGATCAGAATGTTGGATCGAGTTGCCCCCTGTATTCCCGTAGTGCGAAGCCGGTTGTCATGTGAGCTTCCCTCGCTTTCTGGTTATTGACATGATGCTATGATGCATGACAGATCCATGTGTTCATCACGGTTCACTGCTGCTTCAGCTCCGACGGTGTGTTTTTCAGCGCCCAAGGATTGGCGTGCTTTTCGCCACTTCGGCCGCACATTGTGAATCCAATTCGCCAGGCTTAAGGCGTGCAGCAGCGCAGTTTCCGTTGTTTTGTTGTTCGAGTTGTTGTGTTTTTTATCCAGCACGACTGGGAATCAGAAGGAGTTCCTGTCAGAAATACCATGAAATGCGATTACAGTTTCCAGTTCCAGTGAGTCGTACCTGTTAAAGGAAAGTACGGTTCCAAGTGCAGCGCGACAGCAAATCGCGATAGCACAGGTTTTCCCAAATAAGATACCACAGCTTACCCAAACTGTACCTGGATTACATTGTGCTTGATCTTATCCGAGATGTCTTATGGTCGCTTCGGGGGTACTAGTCTTTCTGATCGCAAACTCATCCCGAAGAAAGAGCAAGGCATTTGGTTGATGGCTTGACATGGACTGGCAGTTTTCGGACATCTTAGGTCTAAGCAAAAGCCACGCTGACACCTTACAAAAGCAATCCTCGTTTGTGCCATCCGAAAGCACAGGTGGAAGGATGTCTCTTCTTCCTTTGGCCACCTCTCTTTGATGCCTTCTGGCCCGGGGCGCCCGCGCGGATGAAGTGCCTTTATCTGAACCTCGGAGTCCGATGCAAGGCTAGGGCCCTAAAGCGGTCGGCTGAGGCTCCTGGCTTGGCCAAGTCGCCGAAGCGGGTTAAGGTTGCGTTGAGGCTTAAGATTTTGTAGCATGTCGGTTTCCCGTCTGCATGGGGGCCGCTGCTGCCTGCTAGGTCTGTGATGTACTTGTTGTGTCGTCCGCTTAGATAGTCGGATCTCAATAATGGTAGTGTCAAGCAGGAGATCACCGACAATCGCCCTTCGCACCCTCAGTCCGAATCCGTTGTGCTGTTGCCTGACATACAAGTGCAGGGAACGAGGCAGCGAGGTAGCGCCACTTTTCCGACTCGGCCCCACTAGTTCCAACAGCTTCGCATGTGATCGCGAGGTTCTGGATAAGTAAGATTCCACTACTGGTGGGAACTTCGACCTTCGGGTCCGGCATCTACATGGGAGTCTTGTCCTGATGAGCAGTGTTTCCTTTCTATCCATCTTGCCTAGCCACAGGCGACCTCCTTCAATCAGCGCAGGGCGGTCTTGTGTTGTGATTCCTTTTGAACGGATAGCTGACCGTCGAAGGATCCCAGGTCAGAAGCTCTCCTTAACATGTCAAAGGCATCTTGTCGCGCTCTGCTGCACGACTCCGCTGTGAGGCTCTGGATCGAATCGAACTTTACAATTTCTATATCTGCCAGAGCTGCAGTGGCCATAAGCTACTGACAACTTGCACCTTCTGAGTATGTCGGTGCATTTACGAAGCGAGATATCAAAGGAAAGCCTGCGAGTGCCGCAATGACACGATGCGACGCGAACTGCCATCTTGAGGGTTTACTCCTGGCTTTGCACTCCTCTGCTTCCCTCGCTCCACTTTCCCGAGAGACCGAGTTTTTCTTTGTGAGTCTGTCGGCATGATGGGCATGGTGAGGCTACTTAGAGCTCATTAACATGGACGTCGATGTCTCGGAGCGACGCACCTCGGCGGAGACCTGGCGCCTCACCTCGGGAACGCGCTCCTGTCTAGGCTGTGCTGTGCTGTGGCCTCTGCACGCTGAGGGGCTAATCTGATCTGGTGCGATTGGCGGGCGCTCTACAACCTCCTGCTGGAGGCCAAGGAGGACAATGGTGAAGGCACTGGAAGCCTGCAGCGGAAGCCTGCAGCGGAAGCCTGCGGACCTTCCGGCACCAGCTTTCATGTAGTGAATTCAGGTGGAGGCGAGATCGGTGACGATGGCGAAAGCTCCGCTGGCAGCTGCTGAGCAGCACCGGCCTTGCGGCGCCTTCCCAGAAGCCTTTCTCTCCCTGCTGAGGCGAGGTCTTCTGGTATCAGCCGCTTTCCTCCATCCTCGGCAGCGGTCTCAGCCTGACCCGGCGAAACAAAAAGGCAGATGCTGCACCGCTGTGAGCTAGGATGGGTGATCTACATGAGTGGCGCCCTCCTGTTCCAGATGGCAAACACCGCCGACCTCTTTGACATGCCGCAGGACTCGGACTACTCGGATTCGCGAGCTCCGTAGCTCCGCATGGCCTTGAACTCTTCTTGGGTCGTAGCGATGTAGCGATGTCGCAGTGGCAATTCGGGTGGCGGCGTGTCGGCACCTGTTCTGGTGGCAATGGTTTTTTCATTCCGGGGTTTAGCGAGTGTTGGCTTCTGAAGATGTTGAGCACCTGTTGCCAACTTGATGTCTCCGATGCTTCTTCCTGTGGTTCCTTGTCCACAGAAAGCAGCAGAGTGCCTCGCCGATCTGCTATCTGTTTGCTTACAAGGTCGTCCATTATTGGAACCTAGTTTCTTATGGTCGTCAGTAGCGCACCGGCATTGATTGCTGTCGCTGAGCGTCCCTCGCAAAGTGTACCCGGAGGCTGTCTGTGCTTCAGACTTGTAAAGTGTCCAAGCGGTCTGGGTGACTGGGTTGCAGAGGAGATGCATGTCACCATCGTGGAGTGGCCGCTGATCTTCGGAGGCCGGTCCCAGTCGATGCCCTACGGAGGTTACTCCAGGACTGCCTGACATTGCAGGCCTGTGCTTCTTCTTCGGCGGCATTGCAGAGGTAGCAGCTTGGACTGACAGCCATGAGGCAATCTTCGTCGCGGCATTTGTGGCTAAAAGTGGCTGCTTCCAGTAGAGGTCCACAACCGCTGCTGGGCAACTCCACCAGACACTTTTGCTTCTTGGCTGCATTCTGATGACGAAAAAGCGAGTTCGTGTACTCATCCCCATCTTCCGCGCAGCATGCACCCAACGGCACTGTGCAGCGCAGAGGGCTGATGCAAAGTCCTATGCCTTGAAGGGTTGGCGGGCAAACGGCGCGGATGCGGGTTTGTGGAAGCCGGGTTTGCTTGACGTCCAAAGACTCGCTCAAAGAACGGTGTCACGTCACGTCTTTTTCCGCTTCGTTCAGGTGTGGTGGTCTTCTGTGTTGAACTTCTTTGGTGGCATCGCTTTCTGGCTGTGTGCCTGCGGATGCCTCAATTTCGTAGGCTGTGGCATGACCTGTTGTCATGTAAGTATCGCACGGTCCGAGGCCCGGAGAACCTGGGCGACCTCACCACTCCGATTGGGGTAGGAGGCACGGTTGCCTGCCAACGCTTGCTGTTTCTGTCTGTTTGAGACAGGAGAATCCTGTCAAGCTCCCTGCTGTAATTGTAAGGTACAGTGCTGTACCTGATTGGTGCCGTGCTGGGATTATGTATGTGGCCCTTCGACTGCAAGTGAAGTGTAAGCCGCAAAGCCTGGTGAAAGGCAAGGGGTGCCCCCGCCTTCGAAGCTTCAATCGATTTGCTGCACAGCCCTGAGAGGCGTGGGGAGCAATTCGGCTTGAGCCTGATCTCAAACTTGAACAGTCGCTTGGTCCAGAGACATCCTGGTTTTGCTTTGTGAGCCATCGTGAGCCTATGCCGCCTGGTGCCATAGCTGCCTCAGGAGTGCAGCGTGTGGACGGAACGAAGATCGCGGTCCGGACACATGCCGAAACGGGTGTAGCTTGGCAGGGGTAAAGACTGCAGGCCGCACATCCAGGGGCTGAGAGAGTTTCGATATTAAGGTCAGTGAGATCATGCCAATCAACCCGCAGGCGTGGCAATGGCGCAGCGGATCATGAACCACGCTTCATCTGTCCCCCCTCGCCTTGAGTGTGTGAACCTACAGGTAGTTGGAGTATGTTCTTGCCGGGAAGACAGTATGCATCGTGCGGCGTGATGCACGCAATCCTTTGAGGCTCTTCAGCTGGATGACACCCAAAATGCTTTGCAGCCCAAATTGTCCTGGCGCGGTCCCTCGGTGTTTCTATCTGACAATTCTGAGGGTGCTTATTGGAGTCCCTCATTCCTACATGTTGAGAGATGAGACTTTCTGCATTGCGATTGTCGTGACTGAGGACTTGTCTTCGTGCTACTGCGCCTCGGATGGAAAAGCGACGAGAGCGTTTTGGGAGCAGCGAGCAGAGAGTGCACGGGGTGCAGCCCGGCCCGCAGGTGTGTTCTGTGGGGCACAGCGTCGATCCTGCACGTTTTTGCAGTTCCAGCTGCACCATGGGAGTTTGAGTCCACATCAAGGACCTATCGAAGGCTCGATGGAAGAGACATGCAGTCATGCAGTCGTGCTCACTGAAGATCCCCGACAGGCACTTGCTTTCGCAGGAAATGACGAGCATCGTCCATGCCATTGGCAGCTTGGCTTCATCTCTCAGTGGAGTCTTGGAGTCTCGCACCGAGCCTGCGCTCAAATGGGACCAAACTCATCCAAGGCGCTCATCTCATCATACTCCTGAACTCTGCAACCGTCACTGTGGAATCCTTAGAGCAATTCGTTCCAAGAGCTTGCTCAACCATGCTTCTGCCTGACTACATGTCCTTGGCATGTGATTCAAGGTGCCGGCGGAGGAGCCGTTTCGCTTCATGACGCTTGCCTTACGGCTTCTTGTGGCTGCCGCTCAGCCAATGTTAGCGTTAGATGAACTCGACAGCCAAGAGGCTTTGGGGCTTGGCTTCAGGCTTCAGGTGCGGGTCATCACCCCAACTGTAAGACTGTAAGACCAAAGGGGGGTATTCAATATTGTAGCACGGTAAGAACAATACAGTAGTTGAAGCTTCCACAGCCGTTTCCACACATGATTAGCATGAAGTGCCCCAAACTGCTGCCTTCCACCCCACCGATAGCCAGATCTTGCCAGGTGATGACCGCACAGTCAGTGCTTGGTCAGCAATATTCGGGCGCATGTGCTTCACAGAGCACTTGATGCACGCTGCTACTTGTGTAAGAAGAGTTCGTCAGCTGTCGCCAAAAAGGTCTTATCGAACTGGACGTTCCTGATTGATGAGCACGACTGAGACCATATGGGCACTTTCACGTGCAATTTCATGTTTGCCCGCAGGCCTCTGCCGTGCGTCTGCTGTATCTTGAACAATGCTAAGCTGCCTGCGGTATGAGGGGGGCTCCCCCGGCAGCGTGAAGTGCATAATGTGTCCGTTGCTGCCTTGCAGACGGACTGTTACTTCTGTTCATGCCTCTGATGAAAGGTTGTTTGGTTGTCGCGACATGAGAATGATGGGTTGCTACACTGCTACACTTTTCGGGACTCGATCACAACGCCTTTTGACTCACCCGGGCATCAGTATTTAAAGTCTGATTCTGATTAGAGTTGTTTGTCCGCATCAGACGAAAGAGTGAGACAACGTAGACTTCGAAAACAAGCCGAATAATCACTCTTTTTCTGCTGTGCAGACTGACAGGTGTAAAAGTCACACGGTCTTCCAAGCATAAAGAGCCGCAGAGCACCAAGTGCTCCTCAAGTTGCTGGCCCTGCATGATGGGATCGTTGTGCTCCAGGCACCTGGCAAACATGGCGCTGCCGCGGTGTGTGTGTGTAGGTGCATGTATGCATGCATGCATGTATGTATGTATGTATGTACGTATGTATGCATGTATGTATGTATGTATGTATGTATGTATATTACATGTATGTATGTAAGTATGTATGTATGTATGTATGTATGTATGTGACGATGCGCATATGTGCGGGCAGCAGCTTCTGTATATGTGCTTCTTCGCAAGACTGAAAAAGCAATCAGCCAAATCCATTCCTTGCAACGGTTTGCTCAGACTTGAATTTGCATCCAGCCCTCGATACTGTATTGTGGTATACTGTCGGTGCCTGTGATCCTGCTTGTCAATGGTAGATGGCTGAGAAGTGTCAGTTTATTTCACCAAAGATGATTGAGCCATGCTTATGGTTGGTGCAGCGCAGCTGCTTCTCGCATTTTGGCTGCTTGGGAGGGAGTGACCGAGGGAAGGGGAACGGCGGAGAGAAACAGAGGAACAGGGAACACCTTCTTCGTGCTTCTTACGCAACTAAGTGCAAGGTGAGCGCATTACATTCAGGGGATGATCTGGCTAATTGAACCAGTGAGCGCCAGTGCAATGCCTTATGCCTGCATTACGCTTGAGTCACAATGGCGAATGCCATTTTGGCTCAAGCGACTGGTGTTCCCGCGCACCACTTCTGTGATTGAAAAATTTCCATTTGATCGCCTTTGCTCTCCAGCTACCCCTGCTGATGCTTGGACCGTTGTTGAGGAACTTGCGGCAGCAAGGGAGTTGCGGGAAATCGATGATGCCACTCTCTTGGCGCCTTACAGCCGATCCTGAGAGATCGCCGAGAACATCACCAGGGACGATGCGAGGAGATGCTGAAGACCGTGGCCCGCCTCAACCTGGGTGAAGATGCGGATACCGCGCAGGCCATCACCCGCTACAAAGGCTAAAGCATGAGCCGCTTAGCCATGCTTCCTCCAGCGCATGCTTGGAACTAGTGGCCTAGCCCTGTTGGTCACCCAGGCTCACTTGCACCGGGCGATGGCTTGGCCACTCCGGAAGTCAATCTGCATCAGCACAACCAATAGTTGCGACCAGAGCTGCGCTTGCATCAGAACCATCAGGAGTTACATGTGTATGGGGTTGATTCCGAAAATCATTTTCAAACCCTCGCGGCTGCACACATTGCTCAGGCATAGGCGCAGAGCCTTCAGCATGAAACCCAAGCGTTTGTTCAGAATGCTGCAAGTGAAGCCCAAAACTACTGGTACGTGCAGAGTGCCGTGAGTTCAGCACAACAAGATGCGAGAGAGCAGGCATTTGAGCATGCGAACAGGGTCCGAGATGAGGCCGAGCGTCAAGTACAGTTTGTGTCGCAAGGGGCCCAACAACATCTTACACAGGCCAATGAGACCATCACAGCACAGAAATCAGGAGCTGGAGGAACAACTCAAGGAGATGTTGCAGAGGATAGAAATCATCCAGTCAATCCGGCAAGCAAAGCACGAAAGCTCAACATCAATCCCAGGCTGACACCTCCCACATCCATGCTGCCACGATGTCGCAGGCCGCAGGGGCGAAGGGCCAAAATTGCGCGGACATCAGCGAAGCCCTCAAGGCACTCGCGGTTAGTGTAGGAGAAGCAATGAGGGAGTTGAGCGAGATTGTTAGTCCTAAGGCTGCTAAGCCCAAGAAGAAAGGTAGCTCGAATAGCAGTGCCCCACAGATCCCAGTCGCAAGCCCTCAGGCTCCGGTGGCCTCACAGAAAGGCAAAGCTAGAGGTACATACACCTTCACACGTGAACATGTTTACAGGGACTGTCGCTGCTGCTGCACCGAATCCTTATGGGTTTAGCAGAGCACCAAGATTGCCTGTTTTCACTCGGGTTGGTCTTCCCTCTCCGCATCCACAGACGAAGGGCTCACCAGTGACTTCGATGCGTAATCCAACTCTGAAGAACGAGAGATCACTTCGGAACACCAGAAGAAGTTCATCAAGGAAGCGTTATCGATAGAGCATCAGCTGACTCACATCGCGAAGAACCCCTGCTGCGAGATATGTCAGTGTAGCCGCATGTACCGGAGGAGGGTTGTCAAGAAGCGCACCGGCGCATTCGAGGACCGAGGCGATTTGCCACCTGCAGAACAGTTCGGAGAGAGAATCTCGACCAATCATCCCATCAAAACGCATGTGATTGGGGATGAGTTTTCAATTGAGGGTGCATGTGTGCACACACGTCTGATCGCGCGGCGCAGAACCTCTTGACAGTCGTAGGCGCTGGATACGAACATCTTTCGAATGAATGTGTTGTGCAAGGCTGATGACGCAAGGTGTTCCGGACATATGTGATTTCGCGACTAGACCTTCAACAGCATGGGCCTGGAGGGTGGAGACCAATCCATTCAGGGAGCACAGCCGGAGCATCGTCAGTCGACGGCGCCGATGCACCCTCTCTGGGATCAGGCGCTGCTTCACTGGCGGAGTCCTTTGGCTTCGCCGGTGTCTTTGCAATACGATCAGCCTTGATCAGAGCATCGAACCGTGCTCAACACACAGGACTGTAAGTGGCTGAATCGAATGCACACGCCTTGCGTCCAGACGAAACCCCAAACCGCAAAATGTGTTAAAAGGTTAGATCAGAAGGCGCAATTGAGCTGCATGGGATGTCAACAACTGTGGTCTCATGGAGCTTTGGGTCTTTGAACTCTTTGTGGGCGAGATCAGCTGCCGCACGAAGTGGGAGGAGTGCTGTCTCATCAGGAACATGAACTTCGGCAGAAGGCACGGGGATGGTGTCCCGATATCCTAGAGCTTGAGTCTTAGCAGCTTCATAGTGCAAGACGAAGACAACATCCCTGTACACAAACTCATGTTCAAATCGCCATCCCGCAAACAATCCTGGAGCAGTGGATGCCCCGAACTTATGCCTGCGAGCCGGATCGTGGATTCGGTAGTGCGCGAGCTGTCCTAGCCAGAGCTTTGGCCCGTCGAACGGGGCTCCTGTGGTCTTTCCACGGTGCAACAGTGAGCGTCTGAGCAGCGAACTGGACGGATGGCAGAACGATGCATTAATAATCAAGGATTCGTAGATGCGTACCGCGAGCGGCTGCGTCAACGAAAGCCTGCAAGCTCTGAGCGGCGTTAATGTGCTATTCGAGTACGCTACAACGGAGAGCTCTGTACTTGCTCACGCTGCCGCAAAGCTATGTGTAGAGCACTGTGCTGGATAAGAACACAAATGCTTTATCCATAGAAGCCCACATTAAACAAGTTAAAGCATTGCCAGGCTGTAACCTGTAGTTCTCGTTTTCATCAAACAAGCTATGCGCAAAGCAGTGCATCCAGCAAGTAGTGAAGGTTTTCAATATAGCCATTCGCAACAATAGTCAAATTACAGTTGCGTTATCAAGTTGTGACAAAATTGCCTCACGGTCATAATCTTCAGAAGGTTCGTTGGTGGCGAAGCGCTTGCTCGCACGAGTCCTGACGCCGCAGTCGACAATGCAGTGAACGTCATCACCAACGATCTTCGCCTAGTTCAATTCCTAGGGCAGCTTAAGGGCGATGAAAAGCTTCGACCTAAGACTGGAACAGGCTCGCAAATTCAGATAGCTGAAACGCCGCCATCGGCACGTGCCCAAGCAATCGTTGAGGCGTGGTACCCAAGGCAGTTCCATCGACGTGTGCCACGCATGTTTACGAAAAGCCTGACACGGCGCCAGTGGAAAGCTGATCCACGGGGACTCGCAGCGGTCCAGAAAAGAAGCCGATGGGTTGAGATCGAACGACTCACGGGCAGAGAACACTGTGTCAATACTGCCTGCCTGCTGTCGGATCTCGGGGCAAATGCCAGGAGACAACGCAAGGTCAAGATCGCTGAATTGCTGCTTATGCGGCATTAAGGTAATTAAGGTTTGTGGGATGCCTGAAGAGCAGTGGAAGTTCAAAGGCAGAATTTGCTACAGGGGGATAACGTATTCGACGCCCGTGGCAACCGCATGCTCTTCGAAGAAACAGCCATGACGCCGTCGTCGTTGGTCGCATTAAATGTGGCACTGTACTTTTCGGCAATGCAGTCATCCTCGCAGACGCGGTGCAGGCGTTTCTGCAAGCCAACCTAGCTGAGGCCGGAGAACCCCGACACTTGGGTAATCTTGCCGGAAGAGCTGTGGCTTGAGCCATGGAGACAGAGATTCTCTGCCGCTCGCACTTTCCGTAGCAAAGCATCGCCGCCACAATCTTGGAACGGCTAAGAGCACACATCAAGCGCGAAGATGAGGTCTTCATTGAAGCAGCTCATGCCCGACTCCTAGGCAGAGGTCACAGGATTAAGCGAGGCGCTGACTTCACGACCTTAGTGCTTGACGTGTCATCTTTTGCCCAACAAGTCGTAGGATGCATATTGTGAGCTAGCAAGTCGCTACTACATGTCGGTCATAGGCATGGATGTCAGATGAAGGTTTAAAACATGAAGGTGCGTTGGGCGAGGTTGCCGCAAAAGTCTTGATGAAGGTACAGTGGCTCGGACACGATCTTTGCTTCATCGTAGGACGGTTAGCGTCTAGAGTTGCTTCCTGGACATGCTGGGAGGACAAGCAGCTGCTCAGGGGATGATTTCATACTTGCATGGGTCGACTGACACATGTCTTGCAGCCACCGGTTGTCATCATGACACGCCACAACTGCACATCTTCACTGACAGCGATTTCTCATCATGCCCACGCACCGCAAAGTCCACAAGTGGCATTTACATCACGGTAGGATCGACAGAGTTCGGTTTTCCATTATGCTGGTCATCAAAGACACAGACCAGTGTTGCCAGAAGCACGCCTGAGGCAGAAGCAATTGCAATGGCATCGGCCATGTTTGGCGAAGCCTTACATGAGCCAACGACATTGGAGCATTTTGACACTACTGAAAGTCTTAGCAGCAGGTTATTCGGCTAAGCTTCGGCACGTAGCCTCTATGTCCAAGCAAGTGCAGGGCCTGCGCGTTTCCGCTGAGTACTGCCGAAGCGAGCTTCAGATCGCGCACGGGCTGATGAAGATCATCCCGCCAGCCGAGTGGCCACACACCATGACACAGTTCGGCGTGACGGCGTTTGGCGATGGTTTCCACCTAGACGCAGGTGTTGCACCAAATAAAGGCAAGACATGACTCAAGCACTACATAGAGAAATAATGACATAATGAAATAATGAAAAATGCATAGCTTGACAAATGAACAACTAAGGACATCAAAGAACGAACGACAGAAATAAATACCAACAAAACCAAATGAATAAATAACTAGCGAAACAACGAACGACATACACACATAAGCACATGAAAATAGGTTGCGTTGTCAAAGCTCAGCGTTGCTGCAGAGTTCCAAACTAGCTTACCAATGTGGTGCAATATCAGGTCCGTACTTGGGGAGCCGGCAGTGGATGAGGGCATCTTAAGTGGCGTGTGGTGGGGTGGGTGTGCTTCGGCTTCTTTCCATTTTGCTCAACGAACAGATCCTGCAGGGCCGGGGTACGGGTAGTTCCCCAACCCTAGGCCTTTCCCAAGAGAGAGTTCAGAGAGCCCACCTTCCATGCCCGCCGAATCAAAGACGACAACCGCTCAGCACAGGGTTGTTCCCAGCCCTGGCCATGCAGACTGTGCTGTTCTCCCAAAGCGTGGAGTTCAAAACGGCTTTTTCTGATCGCCAGCTGAGCTGAGGTCACCATTGCATCAGCGACCCAGATCTGCGTGTTGGAGCCAAAGCCGCTTCGCCGCTGCATCGAAGTGCCTGGGAAGCAGAACCTCATGTCGCTCATGCGGAGCGCACATGCGGAGCACTGCGTTTGGGGCGCCGAATCGCCGAGGCGGCCAGCGCTCTGTTTGCAGCTCCCGGCCCGGGCGACCGGCTCCGAGGGCGCCTGCTCTGGCAGGGCTTGGGCTGTGGGGATGAGAGGCCGAGCCACGGCGAGGGCGCTCACGAGCCAGGCCGGTTGCTCATGTTTTTCAACCCGACCGCTGACATCACGTCTCAGTGCATCTGGGAGGAGAGATTCATTTCGTCCGGCGTGGGCGATGCTCTTTTTCTGCGAAGGTGGCCGGGGCGCTTTGGAAAGGTTTGGGATAGACACTTAGGAAACCCGAGGCGTCGTGATGTTCTCGGTCCCAGAAAGTCGAGTAATGCATCCCGAGCAGTTGTTCCAGCAGGAGTTTGTGCCGGAGAATAGTTTGCTGGAAGTCCAGAGTCTCTGATCTTCAGTCGGCGGTGGCTGCTCGGCACGGTGCCAGCGCCGTGCTTGTGGCGGACTTCGAATCGGCGCAGGACCACCAGGAGAGGAACCGAGACTTTTTCTTGGCCACCTGGCTTTGGCTTTGCCTTTTCTTCGTGACCAGCCGGAGGCCGCCGACACGCTCGTGGCCGGGTCACAAGGCAGAGTCGGACCAAAAAAGCCTGTGGATAGTTCCGATTGTGCGGTCGCCAGGCCCGGCCGGGCGTGTGCCGCTCTGGCTGCTCGGCGCTGGCAGCGCGCGGCCGCTCCTCGAAGCCTTGGAAGCAGGAGCGCAGCCGGGCGCAGCCGGGCGGAGCACAGCAGAGAGCGAAGAGCTGAGCTGGCAGAGCTGGCCGTCGGCTCGAGACATGTCAGGAGAGCCGGTCCAGATCGAAGTCGAAGTGGGGAAGCCGGCCGCTTCTATCGTGATGGATGTTTCTGGGTTGCAGCTATGGCCGATTGAAGGCACCGTAAAGCGCAACGACTGGTCGGAGAAAAGAGCTGATGAAATGCGGTTCCAGTGTTTTCAGTGGCCCACGTCGCTACCTTCAGGTCTGGCTGCCCCCTGATGCTGGAACTCTCCTTGCAAGCCTGGCGCCGAAAGCGCGTCGCTGGGCAAGAGTCGTCGCAGGAAAGACCCATTGTGGGCCTTGAGACTGAGGCGATCTCCCGGGGCTGCGGGTCCGAGTGCACTTCCGTGTTGTGGCAGCTCCGGAGGCTCGTTCAGGGGAGGGGAAGCTGCCTTTCGATGCCCTTGGCCCTCGAAAGTGGCTGCAGGCATACCTGCATCTTGGAATGTCTTGGTGTCTTGAGTAGGCGAGCTGAGTCGCCATGGGAGGAAGCGAGCCCTGCGCAGATTGCTCGCCACTGCTATGCTGGGCTCAGAGAGCTTTGCCACCTGGTTGAAAGGAGGGTGCTCCTGCAATTGCTGCAAGGTCCCATGCTCTTATAGCGCGGAGGGATGCACCTCATGAACGAATCAGTCTCGCTTTGGGTGGCTGGCGTGAATCGGCTGATGAAGAAAGGCTTAGGGTTGGCCTTCGGAAGAAGTTCTTGCCAAAAAAGCAACCCACTGTTCCTGGGCGTAAGATGACAGAACGAAGTGTTGGGTAAAAGGATGGCTGATGGATACGGTGGAAGGGCCGCGTCGCGAGGTTCCGCCCGCGTTCTGCAGCATTCGGAAACAACACCTGCTGCACCATGGCTCCGCGAGGTGGGGAGAGCAGATGAGGAGTCCTCCAGTACAGGGAAAGGATGAGGGCTGAGGGCCGCTAGACCATCTTCTCGCTTGCGAGCTCGCAGGCCGTCTTTCAGCATTGCTTGCTGCGCGGCTTTCCTGAACGTGGCTTGGCCATGACACTTCCCAGCCAAGCTTGTCCTTTGCCGGAGTTAGAGAGCAATTTTCGCCAGCTGGACTTCCGTTGGATGGGTACTGCAGAGTGCATAGCAAGCATCGCTTCCACACACGCACTTTTGCAATCTTGGTACGGTTTCAACCGCATATTGCTTTTCACTACAAGGTTGAGACTTTTGGAGAGTATCATTGGTGTGCTCTGGTTTTGAAGGAAAGCACAATCACGTTTCAGTAGGAGATTCTGTCCCCAGCGAGTCTCAGAGCTTTGGCAGGCAGGCTGCAATTAAGTGTATGCTTGCTGCCAAGCGCAGGATATTGGTGGAAGTATGTGGAGATGGCCAACTGCAGTGGCCGCCTGGCAAGCAGGGCCAACAGAGGCCGCTTCTTTGCTGTTTCTTGAGGCTCCGACAGCTGCAGCCGGAGCTTGCTGGCACAGCTGGGCCTCAGCGCTCGCGATGCGCGGGCGGTGCCCTTGCAGCTCATGCCAGAGGTGACGCTTCAGTAGGATGGGCAGTAAGCCAAACCAAACGCAACGCAACAACGGTCTCAAGACACTGAGCCATTGAATAATTAGGGAAGCACCGTATTATTATTGTTATTGTTATTGTTGTTATTATTATTATTATTATCAGAAGTAGTATTAGTAGTAGAATAGTATTAGCAGTAGCATTAGAATTAGTCTTAGTAGTATTATTATTAGTAGTAGCAGCAGCAGCAGAAGTCGTCTTCGTCGGAGTCAGCAGTCACTGGTCGGAGCTGTGGTCGTGGCAGCAGTCGTTCGAGGGTAGTGGTAGGACTGGAGGAGGACTAGGATCAGGAGTAGGAGTAGGAGGAGGGTCATCCATTGTTGCCACGGTTCCCTATGTTGGCATTGCCCCGTGTACAGGTAGCACGTGCGCACCTGCGTCTGGCGGTGCCCCTAGCGCTGAGAGTTTCCAAGGTGCAGCATTGTGCCGACTCGGAGGCCGCATCTTTCCTGGAGGACCGCCTCGACGTTTCGACACCGGTGAAGTGATTCTCCTTGTCTGCCCGTGTGCTGTCGCAGGATGACCGCGAAAGCGCACCTTGGGGTTCAGCTGAGGATGCTGACCATGCCAGGGGCATGCAGATGTGTCGCCTGGAATCGCCTGGAATGTCATCTTGCCGCGCTTGTGACCCTGCTGTGCAGTTGGCTGGAAGGAGATCGCCTTGCGCATCAACGGCTGGCGTTACAGCGGGCCGCTGGAGGTCGGAAGACCATCAGAAGTCATCAGCAAGGTGGTTGACATGTAATCAACACAGAAAGCACTGCTATCATCTGTCAGGCTCCCCGTATCCTTCGCACAATTTGTTGGCAGTTGGAGCCCAGCGCCGTCTGCGAGGGCCTTCTGAGGAAGGCTGGGCCGCCATCCGCTCGAGGGCGTTGAGTGCCCTAGACGTCTTGCGGCAGAACGCCCGGACGTGTGAGTAAGTGAGTGTGTGTGTGTGTGTGTGTGTGGGCAACCCAAAATACCACGGGAATTCCAGCAGTGCAGGGGGCCCGAGGGCTCATCATACAGCTCGGGCCAACGAAGCTCTGTATGATGCAGCCAGGAAAACGTACCTGC